AATTGAAAACCACTGACAAACCATTCAATGATTGTTTTTCAATCAAATATCAAATTTGATCATTTTTAAAGACACTAATTTTCAAAAACCAAAACCATTTGATTTGGGATACCGTCTTGAATCCCAAAAACATTAACACTACGTACAAAATATGTGATTTTGTACGTCAAAGAACTTTGTCTTCTCAAAAGAGATTCATTATACAGTAACACAATGCATAGAGTTTTATGAAACTCATATAATTCATGGAAAACGAATGTATTTAACTTTAAGGAAAAAAAATTGAAGTCATCCTCACTAAATTTATGATTATGTATTTTCGGTTTTCAATTGTTTAAACTAATGTAAAACCTAAAATCTAAAACACTCAAACCTACGTTGAATATATTTGAATTATCAAAATTGATTCACCGTACAAAAACATCATACCTACAAAGACTCTTATATTCATGGCAACTAAAATCAATGTCGAATATTATCGAATTCTAAGAAGAGTCTGTTGATTTTGAAACTGTAAACATGATTTCTGAAAAGAGATACACCATACATTAACTAAAATCACCGTCAAACAATTTTGAAATCTCAAAAAGAGATACATATTACAGTAACAACATCTTTACATTTTTTAATGGAACTCTTATAATTCATGGAAAACAAATGTATTTAACATTAAGAAGCAAATTTAATATCATTTTCACTAAAATTATATCTATGTATTTTATGTTTTTGGTATTTTTCAGGCAAGAAAAAAATATAAAATAGCTACTTTTCAAAAAAAACTCAAATGAACGTCGAATATCTTCGAATTCTCAAAAGATATTCACCGTACAGTAACACAATGCCGAAGAGTTTCTGAAACTATTAAAATTCATGGAAAACAACTACATTTAACATTAATAAGCAAATTTAACACTAATAAGCACGAAAAAATGTCAAATGGCCGATTATCCACCAACCAAAATCAATGTCGAAAAGTATCAAATTTTTAATAGAGATTCACCAAAGATTAACACCATGCCGACAAATAAAAAGAAATTAACATTAAAAATAAAGAATTTTAAAACGACTGTATTTAACATTAAAAAAAAATTTGAATAAATTTAGTAACAAATTAGGGCTATTTATTCTATGTTTTTATATTTTTTAAGCAAGAAATTTTTGATACATGTGATTTTGTTACTGTTGAATATATTTGAATTATCAAAATAGATTTACCATACAGAAACATCATGCCTACAAAGAGTCTTATAATTCATGGAAACTAAAATCAATATCGAATAGTTTCGAATTCTCAAAAGAGATACACCATAAAATAACATCATATTTACAGTTTCGAAATCAACATTTTCATGGAATTCTCAAAAAAGATACACCATATCGTAACTAAAATCAACTTGAAACAGTTTCGAAATCTCAAAAAGAGATACACATTACAGCAACAACATTTTTACATTTTTTTGAAACTCTTATAATTCATGGACAACAAATGTATTTAACATTAACAAGCAAATTTAATATCATTCTCACTAAAATCAGAGCTATGTATTTTATGTTTTTATATTTTTCAGACAATAAAAAAATTTAACATAGCTACTTTTCAAAAAAACCCAAATGTACATCGATTATTTTCGAATTCTCAAAAGAGATTCACCGAACAGTAACACAATGCCTAAGAGTTTCTGAAATTGTTAAAATTCATGGAAAACAACTGAATTTAACAATAATAGGCAAATTTTACACCAATAAGCAATAAAAAATGTTAACTAGCTGATTATCGACAAACCAAAATTAATGTCGAAAAGTATAAAATTATTGATAGAAATTCACCGAAGAGTAACATCATCCCTACAAATAATGAAACTCTTATAATTCATGTAAAAAAATGTATTTAATATTAAACATAAATTTTAAAGAAATTTTCTCTAAAACTAGAAAGTGTAATTTATGTTTTTATATTTTTTAAAGCAAGAAAAAAATTGAAATATGTGATTTTATTACTGTTTGAGATGATCCATTGAATCCAAACTGAGTATTCGCAAAAAATCTGGCAAAATAAATTAAAAATTATTTTTTCAACCAAATTAGGGCTTATATCTTTCTACTTTGGGGGGTTTTTTAAGCAAGAAAAAATTTGATATATGTGATTTTCTTACTATTTGAGATGACTCATTGAATCCAAACTCAATATTCACAAAAAAAATCCGGCAAAATAAAGTAATACTTATTTTTTTCAACCAAATTAGGGCTTATATGTTTCTACTTTGGGGGGTTTTTCAAGTATTAAACAACCAAAAAAAAAAATGTTAAAAATTCAATCGTTAGAAAAGAGGAACTCAAATAATCCGGCGAAGTACCGCAAATATTTCTGGCGAAGAATCACAAAGATTTCCGGAGAATAGATTCACAAAAACCAAAATCCAGCGACCATACAATAGCAGCTTGAACTCGTGATGAACTGGTGATGAACTAGTGATGAAGAAGATATGCTTCAACTGGTGAAAAATATTTGTCAGACAAATGTTGAAGCTTTGATGGTAACGAATGAAATGACATATTCTTTGGAATTCAAAAAAGATTAGGAAATGATTAGTTTTTGATATTGTCATTAATGGCTCTTTGGAAACTAATGCCAAGGAATTAACGATATTGATTCCCAAAATCGATGATCTATTCGTCTTCCTCATATAAAAAAAGACTTTTATATATTTTTTTAAGGAGATGTTTTTCTACCTCAAATATTTTAAAAAGTGAACTTTGTCCTAATAAGTTATGGGGGGAGGTACCGGCCTCCCTACAGCCCCCAGATATATACATGTATGAAGGAAGAACCCAAACCCCCTGAACATTGGCCGGATCGCATGCCTTGGTTGTTTATAGTTTATATATAGTTTGGATTGGTAACTTGGGTAAAGTCAAATCTAATACTATGTTGCCGTTTTGGGCTAGATTTGGACCTCATATACACCTACAATCCAGCCCGTTTGAAGTGCAGCCCCAAACAAAGATAGAAAATTGTATCAATGTACACCCCTAAAGATCAAAAATTTCAATTTACACCCTCAAAGATAGAAATTTGTATCAATGTACACCCCCAAAGATCAAAATCTCAATTTGCACCCTCAAAGATAGAAATCTGTATTAATGTGCACCTAAAACTAAATTGATAAATTATACCTAGATCCCCTCATGTTTGTCACTTAATCATTTGAACCCCTTCACATTTAGAATATTACCCCTACATCTCATGACGTTTGTACATGTGTAAACATAACCACTTTTCGTTGATATCTATTAATATAATCATTAAAAAATATGATTTTATCATAATAAAAAATTATAATTTCATATTACCCTTTATTTTGTGGATTCGATATACTCTAAAGTTCAAAATCAAGCTTACCATTTGAATGTCTAATAGAATGTAGATATTTATAAAAAGGAAAATATGAAAAATATTATATAAATATCTACATTTTATTAAACATTCAAATGGTAAGCTTGATTTTGAACTTTAGAGTATATTGGACCCATAAAATAAGGGTAATATGAAATTATAATTTTTTATTAGGATAAAATTATATTTTTTAACGGTTATATTAACAGATATCAATGAAAATGGGTTACATGTTGTACGTGCATAAATGTCATGAGATGTAGGAGTAATATTCTAAATGTAAAGAGGTTCAAATGATTAACTGACAAACATGAGAAGATCTAGGTATAATTTATTAATTTAGTTTTAGGTGCATAATGATACAAATTTCTATATTTGAGAGTGCAAATTGAGATTTTTGATCTTTGGGGGTGCACATTGATACAAATTTCTATCTTTGAGGGTGCAAATTGAGATTTTGATCTTTGGGGGTGCACATTGGTACAAATTTCTATCTTTGAGGGTATAAATTGAGATTTTTGCTCTTTGAGGGTGCAAATTGAGATTTGAACTATCTTTCGGGGTATAAAATGAGATTAACCCAAAAATTAATTAGAAATACGTAATATTTATAAAATTTTCGTATTTTTACCTTACCCTACATTTATAGATACATATATATGCTAATCTCTAAAAATTAAAATCTAATAGTTCTAATGTCTTATTGATGTTTATGTCTTTCTTTGTTGTATTTTATTGTAATTATTTAATGTATTATCAAATTTATTGTGTTTTTTTTTATTGTTATTAGTTTATTATGTTAATTAATTGGTGTATATTACTTAATTAAATTATTAAAATGATTCAAAAATTAATAACTAAAAAATACGTGTTTTTTTGGGAGAAGGGGAGGGGAACTTGAACGTGTTAATTAATTGATGTGTGTTACTTAATTAAATTATTAAAATGATTCAAAAATTAATAACTAAAAAATACGTGTTTCTTTAGGAGAAGAAGAAGAGGACTTAAACCTTTGACCTCAAGAAAACAAAACAAATACTATTGAAGTAAAAAATACATGTTTACCCAATTTTTTATCCAATTGTTTTTGACAAATTTTGGATAGAAATAGTACATTTGATTTGGAATGATAGGTCTAGAAAAAAATTTTCAACAAAATATAAGGTAGAAATATGAAATACTATGATTCTTGTCCGAACGGTAGGGTGAATAACTTATTTGCATTAGGTGATCTTATAAGAAAATAAATTAAAAAATAAAATAAAATTGGGAAGTCTCTTTGTATATCCGTAAAATCACTTTGAAGGTGTTCAAAGATTTAAAATTTTATATTATATCTTTAATCATGTATTAAAAAGTATTATAATGTAATACTTTCGTTAATTTTTATCACTCATTTTTGTCGATATCATTGAAGTAAGTTTTGATACAATAAACGATAGAAATTAACGGGGAGATAATATTATAATATTTTTAATACAATACGATGAAATATAAAAATATAATATTTAAGAGTATAAAATACAAATTTTTAAATATTTTGAGACATAAAGTGAGATTTTATCTTAATTTAACACCTCAAATCTTATTTTTCTGTTCTAAAATTTTCAGCACAGAGGTACGGTCGGTCTGCAAGAGGAAGAGGGACGAAGAAATGAATAAGAGGGCAGTGGAGGAGGAAGAGGAGATTGTTGCAAAGGATCTCCTCCTTTGGGGACATGGGGATGGTGATGGGGATGATTATTGTAGTTCAAATACGGAGAATGAAGAAGAAGCTGCCTTCTCCCTCGTCGGTCTCGACGATTACGGTATGCCCTCTTTTCAGCTTTCGACACCAGAGCGTCACGATGACCAGCAAGACTTCCTACCCCTTCTCCATCCCACAAGAAGTAGTGAAACGAACAAGCCTGCTGCTTCAACTGTGGTTGACGCTGAGCAATATAGTTTCGCCTCTGATTTCTATCGCTGCGGAACAGATTGGTCTTGCTTGTTGTTTCAGAATGACAATATTAACCGTTACTCTAACAATAACGGGGAAGAGGATCACAAGAATCTTCCCAATTCTAATCCTATGTCTATGTCTATGTCTATGGCGAAGGACAACAAGAAGCGGAAGCTCATACAGGCAAACCTATTCCAGATTTGGGGCTTCCAAAAGGATAATAACATCAAGAGTTCCAACAACGGTGGCGATGATTTTGATACTAGTGCTGGTTACGGTAATAGTATCAATGAAGTCGCCAGTCATCACCACCACCAACAACATCGTCCCCGTTTTTGCTCCTTCTATAAGAAAATCCCAGGTGGGCTCACTTCGCTCTCTCCTCTTCTCTTCTAAGTTCTAACCCCTTTTCGAGATAGGTTTTTTCCAATTATGACGCCAATTGTAATGTATGACTTAATTAGTGGTATATAGTATGGATATGGAACCCAATCAAATTCTTCATTTTAGATTACTATTGGATAACAAGTTGAATGGACTGAGCACCGGTGAGAAACATTTGTAATTTTAGGTGGTGGTTCCATATTCCCATACAATGCTACTTCCTATTCTAGGATAAAGATATCATCTTTATCTAATGACATAGTCAGCTTGATTTTCCCAGCTTTACAAAACACTTATTGTTCAATCACTCCACAGATTTTTTCTGGGCAAAACCTTTGCTTTGCATTCTCTTGAATGCATTCCATCCGCAAACACAAGAATGTCTCTCAGAGCATTGTGGAGCCTTGGTAATACATTGAACAAGTTGCACCTGTTTAAAACTAAATCATACTAGGAAGATAGTCTAAATTTTGGTGTCCTATCTGACTCAGCATTCATAGAATAACACATACCATCTGTCGCCACAAAATAAATCTGGATTCTTTAGAACGCAAGAAACTAAGAGAGCAAGATGAAATCACAAAACAAAGATTCTCTACTTATTATAATGCTCTTAATTTGGCCCTCTTGCTCCTATAGGGACGCCCTTCACTGTGGATGCGTTCCGCTATGGTTGTGTCAAAGATTGTTCTGCATATTTTCTTACCCACTTCCATGCTGATCACTATGGTGGCTTGACCAAGGGATGGTCACATGGTCTTATCTACTGCACTCCACTCACTGCTTGCTTGGTCAGAATGTATTTATCTATAAATTCAACGTAAGGAACTAGTTTTATAAATGGGACATAGTTGTCTTTTAAATTCTCTGCCCCCTCTCCCCCCCTCCTGCTTCATGCTATGCTTACTACTAAGTCTGAATATGATTTTCATGGTTCTCTATTTGCAGGCTCATTCGGCCTCTTCAATTGGGCACTGAATATGTCATTGAAGGAAGCAAAGTAACTCTGCTTGATGCTAATCACTGCCCAGGTGCAGCTCTCATTTACATCCGCCTCCCAAATGGACAATGTTACTTGCACACTGGAGACTTCAGAGCTTCTAGACTGATGCAATCTTATCCTCTCCTTGCAAACCATAGAATTAATGTGCTTTATCTTGACACAACTTATTGCAACCCAAAGTACAAGTAAAAAACTTACTCCATCAGATTTGTGTTTGTGGCTTTTGTTCTAATTATTGTCATGTTGTCATATTTATATTCTGAAATGCCTCAGGTTCCCTCCCAAAGATGATGTACTAAACTTTGTCGTGAGAGTCACTAAGCACTGTCTGAAGAAACAACCCAAAACTCTTGTCATTGTTGGGGCATATAGCATTGGAAAAGAATGTGTTTATCTTGCAATTTCCAAGGCATTAGGGGTATGATGGTTTATCATGCCCTGCTGAAAGATTTTACTTGTTTAATTGCATTCATATGCTAAAGAGGATATGGTAACAATGTTGATGATTGCATCATTCAACTAATTTAGACCTGATGGGGCTACTTGATTAAATAATGCCCTTGCATAAAATCTTGAGAAACATCACATAAAATCTATTTCAGAGGATGAAAACACAATGGACTTAACCTTAACTGATTAGTGCTTACTTTTTCCTGAGTACGCTATTAGGTCAAAATATACACAAATGCTTCGAGGAGGCGCATTTTGCAGTGTTTTGGATGGTCTGAAATTGCAGGGAAACTTTGCACACAAGGAAAGGATACACCTCTTCATGTTCTGCCCATATCATCACTTAGATTTGAGGTGTGTTTCTGAATTGTCTTGATTCTGAGATTGAGGTGCTCTTCTATTTCCAATTATATGATTACCCATTTTTTTTGGCTATGTGTGAAGATATTGGAGCGTTACTTAAAGACTTACATGAGTCAATATACAGCGGTTTTGGCATTTCGGCCAACAGGTAATTGATGCTATTGCCTTCCAAATTGAACACCTAAGTTATATTAGATCCCTTTCTTCTTACGAAGTACTTATTTTCAGGTTGGACCTACACTGAAACTGTTGGAAGCCACCTGGATCTAATAAAACCTGTTTGCAAAGGCATTGTTACTATTTACGGTGAGATAGATCGGATTTTGTCTCAAATTGATAAAACAAAGTGCTAATGAGCTAATTATCTGCAAATCCTTGTTTTGGTTTGTGCATATAAATGGTCCACTATTCTTTTATCCTAATTTCTGCAGGAGTTCCCTACAGTGAACACTCCAGCTTCACAGAACTGCAAGAGTTTGTTCAGGTCTTATTCTGATACTATATCCATGTCTTCTTTAAACCTCAACCATTTTGCAAAATTTCTGAATTCATCCTTGATGTGTGAGGTTAATATTCCCTTTCACTGATAATCGTCATTGCCATTTGTTTAGTTTCTGAGGCCTGAGAAGATAATTCCTACTGTCAATATTGGAAATGCTGCAAATCGAGATAAGATGCAGTCCTATTTCCGGGAGTGGCTGAAAGGCTAATTTTCTGCTGGAATTCTCTATTTCACTTTCTCAGTCATGCAGATCCTTTTATATTTGGCAAGAAGACCAACTTGATTTGAACTCGCCTTAGATAAAAGGATCTTTAGTCATCTTTATAGTCAAGATGCAGCAGATCAGATGCTCAAATTGAAGAAGTCATCAGTGAGATCTCAGGTATGCAAACACTGATTTTTCCAGTTGATGGCCTTTTGATGTTATCTTGATCATTGTTTACCAGTATTAACTAGTCAATATTTGCTTAATGGAAAGTTCTTTTGATGCTTATGAAAATACATGAAGAGTTGAGCATATTTTCCAAAAAGCCTGTTGACATGCTTTGCATTTCATGGATTTACGATATCTGTTCATATAATAGTGGTAAATTTGGAATGCGAAACTCAGTTTTGAAAAAACAAGAGCAAACATGGATAAACTAATCAAGAAGGTAGAATTATATAAGTAATATACTCATGGATTTTGCAATGTAATTTCACTTTCATCTCCAGCACATGACTGAGGTCGTTTAGCATCTCCCTGAAGCATGGACAGGTCAAAACTTTTGAGGCTTGAACTATATGCTGGACTAGCAGACATGCGCTTTGTCAACTCAGATCCATTCTTCCCATCTTGTGATTAAACTAAGTAAATATTAAGCTCCTGACAAATTCATATTGAGGTTTGGTTAAATTGCTAGCATCTAAAAATTGATCACTAACTTTGGATTCAATTTGAGCAGAACATCATAATTAAGTTACTAAAATTAGATGGATGTTGTAAAGTTTCAGTTCCACTATTATTGCCTCATCACCAACTCACTTTTAACACGATCAACATTTCAGAAGGATTGATTTGTAGAGTTGGCAGATTATCTCATTGATTAGTGATGGTTGTTATTTATTGATTTATTGCTGTATATGCCCCCATCCTGCCAATGAAGCTATAGTCGAGAGGCCTTTTTTTTTTTTTTTTGGGGGGGGGGGGGGGGGGGGGTGAATGCTGTATTTATGTTGTCATGTTCTGCATTCGTGGCCTTCTCTTCCCCAGAATAAAGCCTGCTGGAAGTCTAATTGAGTCCAGCCCACAAGAAAAAGAAAAGATTTTATAGCAAGTTAAGTTTTAATTTAATGGAAAATGTGAGAAAGATATGTTGGGGAAGCTTCGGTCTACATCGATGGTTCCAAGCATCTCTCATTGTTATGTTATTGTTCTTTCTTCCATCCTCATGGCAGTGGTAGACAAAGCTTGTGGAGTTCATGTGAAAAAGCAAATCCTTTTGTGTGGATTATTATGCTCCGATGGCTTCTCTTGATTTAGTTTGATTGACCACCTGTATGTTCTAGTTGGGAGTGTAAAACTGGAATAGATCAGTTTAAAAGAGAGACAAAGCTCCGTTGATAGATCAGACTATCATCTCTTTTGGTTGAGATTCTCTTATATAACGAACTTGTTTAGGTCAAAGAAGAGAGAGGCTAGGAATAAATATAGGTCATCTAATGAATCCCTTAGAGAAGGATATGAGAATACCCTTACTCTCTCTCTTTGCATTAACGTGAAGAGCAAATTCAATCTTCTTTAGTACTCCTTTGGTTAAGGAGATATCTGAACGATATAGATAGAGTGAAAGTCTTTAGCACTAGGAGTTTTATTCCTTTATATCTAGTGATTCTCTAGGATTTCTACTCTCTCTCTCTCTCTCTTGGCTCTCTCTTACAGAAGAGTCTTCCAACTCGTGTTATGAGATATATCCCTTAAGCATTGTTGTACTCATTTGTTTTCTATGCATCGACTTTTTATATATATATTATAAAGCACTCGTCAGAGCTCTAGGAATGTCCTTTTTTTTTTTTTGGCTGCCGGCCCCACAAAGAAAAGAAAACACATTGGTGATTGCAAATTATGTAATTGCAATCACATGGCTTCAGTCTCTCGCGTGTGTGCATTATAAGTTGAAAGGCAACAGCACTCAGCATGCCGGGGCGGCTACTGCTGCTAGCCAGATGTGCCGTTAGATCCTTCTCCAAGATCTGCGCCAGAAGGTAATGTTTCGCTTGTGAGGTATAAGGCAAGTGAGCCGAGCTTTATGCAAACACAGTCACCATCGGCTCCTCTGAGAACAAGCTGAATTTAGGTAAGAAGGATAATAAAGTTCAAAGAAAGCTGGATGGATCTCTCTGGTTCTCAATCGCAAACATATTGAAAAAAGTTATGGTTTCTTTCTTTCAATTTGGCAGACAAATGATGAAAGATAGATAGTAAGCTTTTCACACAAACTAATGACCGAGGCCTTCATATGATATGGTTCACTTGTTTCTTGCGCCCGCCCAGCCTTGCGCAGCTGCAAATCCCAAATACTTGTTTTTTATTTTTTCGTTGTTGCTGGAAACAAAGACCATTTTTGACGACATGTGAAATTACACCACAATTGAATCGAATTCATTGGGAATGTGATATCCACAAGAAGCATAGAATAGCACAAGAAGTGAGGTGGCACATGAGTGTGTTTGTTCCAAGTAAGTCAAATCCCAACAGTTGGATCATCTCAATCAAAAAATTTTTACAATGCACAAACATTAGCAAGCAGCAATTTGTTCTTCATCTTTTGTTTATGGTTTCTGATTTCCAGAGCAGTGTCGCTGTAACCATCCGAGAGAGAGAGATGACGCTCCTTCACCTTCTTTAGCCAACCCATAACTTAATTCTACCAAAAAGGAACACAGAAAGCAAAAGGATTGGTGAAAAATTAATGGGTAAATTTCACAAACGCCTCTGACATTTGATCAAATAACATGAGCACCCTCTGACATTATAAAAATAATATGACAATCCATTGACATTACAACGTGCAGCAGATATACCTTTAACCTATAACGGCCGTAGAAAATGCTAACAACAAAAAGTGATGACATCAACTAAATAAGGCACTCTATTTTCAAAATTGCGTTTATTAGCCTCAGTCCCATGCCCAGACCCAGATCCAAAACGGTAGTCTCTACTCATATCAAAATCAAACCCTCAACTTTAACCGCGTAATTAACTCCAACAATACACCACCACAGCCATTACAAAGAGGCCACCCTCTGTCACCACCCATGCATCACTTCCCTTGTAAAACCACCGCCATTAATCCGTCACCACCACTACACTTGGCCACTAATCCATTGCAAATCAAAAACACCACCATCCTCTGCCACCCACTCACCCACTTCAAATCAAAACCACTACATACGGCAGCCATCTACACATAATGACCTACTTTATACTTGTTTTGTTGACTCTCACAAATTGAGAAATCCATGTATTCTATAAAGCGTAAATGGTTCCATATGGCAGTGTGGTTTTACATTTATTGATTCGCTACTTGGAACAGATATCCCGCAATCTTGTGACAGCTTAGCTTTTTATCGGCTACACAAAAAGCTTTGCTTCTTAAGACTGAATTAGCATTTTCCTTACCTTTCCTTTCCATTCCTGTGATTCTTAAAAATAACAGGATGGATGGTAAGGCACTAAACCAGTCAGCATCCTTCCAGGGCTTCTCAACAGAAATAGTGTATCACATACACCAGAAGCTTTTGGTAAGTACAATACGATTTCACAGCTCAATTTCCATGTTGCATTCGAGCTTAACCAATAATATAACAGCTATCAACAATTCACATAACATGCTAAACTATGCACCTGATCCCAAAAAAAACCTTTGCCGCAATCTTCTCCATAACACATGGAAGACTTGTTACTCAAGACTTTGGGTTCTTTTAACTTTCAAAAGCCTATGATTCATTGTCACTTCTAGTCTAACCTCACATAGCAGTTGTTGTAGATCTTTATGGCCAAGCCATCAAATTAGTTACACATGGGGCATTAGAAGTGTTAAATACAGTGAAAAGAGGCAATACATAACAATAGAAATTCACACAATGATTTTCATTCATCTTTTGCCAATAGTCCATGGATTATGATACATCTTAGCATCATGAAAGCGATGATAACAAGAATCAGAAAATCACAGACTAGAAGTTTCAAGGAAGTTCTGCAGCACATAACCTGAATTCCTGCATTGATACAACTTATGAACTCAAAAATTTTCACTATCTTCGAACACACAAGAATTCTAAGCTACAGGACACCAAACCAAATTATAATAATTACCGATGATCCTAAGTTTATTATTCTACACAATCAATTCTTATAGGTACAAGCATGCTCAGGACAAGTCTAATGCCGTCTAAAAGAGTTATGCTATAATCAATATAATCTCAGTCTCCAGTGCGCATTACTAAGAAATTTCAGTGAAGAAGATGCGATCTCAAGGTTTGAACAAGAGTTAAGAAAGAAACTTGTTTATCACAGTCGGTCCAAGAGATGCATCATCAACGAAGCATTGTCGGTCCAAGTGAGAAGTGCAATGTCAACCAAGATAATCAACAAAACTAATGAAATAACTGGGGAGGAGAAGATATCCTATGACATGAAAGGCAAAGAAAAATATAGTCATTTACACGGTATACACTAAAAACAAAGCCCCAAAGTGAAATTCATATGATAGAAGGTTACAATGTGCTAGTCAACCAAAGGGGAAAATAATGAGGGACTAAGAAATTCTGCAAGTAATTGTCAAAAACAGTAATTTATGGAGAACTGAGATACGAAGAGAGCACATAATGTAGAACATCGATCTAATTTGCAGGAGAGAGAGAGAGGGATAAGGGGAGGGGAGGGGAGGGGAGGGGTGGGGTGGGGGGTAAGGAAAAGGAAACCTACCCAGAGATGTAATCATCAGGCCTGGGTACCCGTCATAGCCTTCATCTGGATGTGATTAGTATCAGCAGAGGCTCCAGTGGGCAAGGCCTCGTAAGAACCAAATCTCTTGATCCCGACGGTCTTGGCAACGGCAGCGTAAGTGACCATGACAATGACGAGCACAAACAATACGTGAACGACGAACACCAGATCGAGAATTGCAACAGCCCTCAACTTGGAGTCTTCCAAATCACATTTGGTGGATCCCTCAACACCATTGACCACGTCCAACAGCTTGTGGCACCCTTCGGGAATGAAGGCATCCACGTATAGGGAGAGGCCCGTCTGCAGGACCCAGAGACCCTGGAGGCAGAGGGAAGCCCCCAAGCCAACGTCGGCGACAAAAAGGCGGGGATGACAGGCAAGGACAAGGCAGAGGACGGAGGAGAGGGCTGAGATGCGGGCGGAGACGGAGTCGCATTTGGCCTGGAGATCAGATATCTGGACGGTGGCAGAGGCGGAGGAGACGGAGTAGTGGAGGAAGAAGAGTGCGGAGGCGACGCCAAAGAAGAGATCCGGCGGAAAAGGTAAGAGAGAGGTAGTCTCGGAGATGAGGAGAGCGAGGGATAGGATGAGGAATAGGAATAGGACTCCGGCGGCCTGGAGGGAGGTGAATCGGTGGACGGGGGTGCGTCCCTTGAGGAGCGGGTCGGCATCAGAAGAAATTAGGGTTGGTGGGCAAAAGCAACGAGGAGGCAGAGGATGAGGAGGTAGAGCTGCAAATGCCTGAGTCGAGGAGAACAGGAGGAGAGAGAGAGTGGATGATAGGGTTTGGCGAAGTAATCGCGAGGGGACCTGAGGTGGTTCCTAGTGGTGGAGATGAGATGGTATAATCCCATAGATACCAGGGCTGACGATGAGAATATGTGATAGATAATGGCGGCCATCGAATCCAATCGAAGGGAATGAATGAATGAATTCCCAATAATATGATTATTATAGTAGATAGTATTGGATATATTAAGAAGAAGAAGAAGAAGAAGCAAAAGAGAATCCGCTCTCCAGACTCAACAACAACTGTTTCTTAGTATTTAAACACACCAATCCAATACAGACCACCCAACAACAAACAACAATTAGGTTCCTACACTACACAAACAGAAATAAGAGGTAAACAGAGAGAGAGAGATCATCGATCCAACCACCTTGATGTGTTTTCTCTTGTATTAAATTTTCTTTTTTCTGTAAGAGAGAAAGACAAAGGGGGGATCCAAGAAGCTTGCTTGTGTTTTCGCGCAACTACTTCTTTAGACTTTTTCGAGTCGATGTTACTATTTTGTTTTGTTGTTTACAAACGACTACAACTAGCAGTCTAATACTACAAGGCCGGCCAGGCCCAAGCCACTTCGCCCGCTTCCTTCTTTTTCTGACTTAGGAGGCTCGTTGGTTGGGCATGATCTGATATTGATATGATTCGGCTCTTCCACTCTCCCAGATGACATGGGGATTAGCTAGCTAGCCAGCCAACCAGCCAATTAGATTTACAAGACTTTCTTCTTCCTTCCTTTTTTTTTTAAATATTTAACAGAGCCGTCTGTCTCCTTCTTTTTCAGCATTTAGCACTTAAAAACATTCATTCATTCTGGACGCATACAACAGCAGTACACTATGCCATCACCAAGACTCAGATTACACAGAACACTACTCAGTCACTATATCCTTCACAGCCTGCCTGCACCCCACAGGCCCAACTAGAAAGTAGATTGATTCTGGATGGAGGTGGATTGCAGATTATCTAATATTTGCCTCCCTCCTTTTCCAAGATGCTCACACAACAAGAAGCAGCAAATGCTCACACAAACAATAATATTATTTGTATATTTGGTGCGTGCAGCTGCAGCTACCCTTCATCACCATTTTGCCAATCTTTCTTGTTTCATCATGCCAACCTCATAGTAATCAGCTCTATTAAGGCTTCTTGACTTTGGTTGCATATAGAGGTGCATTGCTTTTTAGCAAAAGGCTGCTTGATAAATTGTCCACATCCTAACATTTAGACGTCCAATTATTTTTAAAAATCCTACTCCAGATTCTAACATGCTTCTCTAATTAACTCCTGCATGCATCCCCCTCCCCAGTCCCACTCTCGATTTTGATGACTTGACCACTTTAATCTTGATATCCAATGGACCTTACTGAGCTGGAGGTGTGATAAGAGAGGACAAATAATATATCTTCCTTGGTGAACGAATGAAATCAAACACAGCCTCATACATTTATCATTTCAATAACACCACAGAATCCACCACTCATTACAGAGCGACATTACGATTTCATTCTTCATACACGTTACAACAGAGGATGACACTGATTGTCAACCGTGTAAATACTACATCAATGGCACTTAAATAGTACAGTGTCCACAAATAACAAGGCCAAAACGCAGCAATAAAAGAAAAACAAATAGACATTCCTCGAAATTCCTGCTATTCTCTCCAATATGTAAAGATTAACACTTTGAAATCTATCAACACCACCAAAATCCCAACTAGTAACGTCACACAGCAATTGCACACGTGGACTTGCACTTTATATTATTAGGACAACTACTAAAATCACCAATACCACCACAATAACTGCCAGCACCCACCAACACTGTTCAATAACAGATAGCGAGAGAGAGAGATAATTAAAATGAGATACAAAGATTTCGACAAGAGTATATGAAAAAGGTGTAATAAAATCATGAAACTCCTTAGAAACCAATGGAACAATTAACCACGAACTGAGAAAGTAATGTGTTGCCATATGACTGCACGAGAGACACTAAGTACTACTTGCTTTTATGAGTTCATCACACAGATCTACATTGAAGAATTTGCTTTAAGAGTTATACCAGTAACAAAATGGAATTTAATTTCTGTGTTTGGAACTTTTGACCACCCATTTTCTCCATAATTGTACTTGCGTTTTTTCCTCCACAAACTTATATTTTTCCTTGACACCTTTGGGCATTGTTGGATGTAATCTTTGTCAGTTGAACTTCAATATTGTTTCCACTTCTCTTGGGATTGCATTATACAAATTTCACATTAATATCATTCATCAGAGGCCAAATTCATGTCAATAACCCATGAATGTATTTTGGATTTAAACTTTGCACACCGCACCAAACCCCCCCCCCCCCCCCCCCCCCCCCAAAAAAAAAAAAAAAAACCCACAATCACAATGGAAAACCTAAACTACGTATACATTTACTTACCCATGAGCATTTAGATTTCTGACTTTTTGAAGCCTTAGAAAGCTGTACTCTTGCTTGGGTGGTTGCAGCAGAGGAAGCCTCAATATTTGATTGAATGTCATCTGTAACAATGGAAACAAGAACCAGATTTGACAAAATAAAAGCAGAAAGCCACACTATTGGGAAGAGAAAGTGTGCTATATAAAGGATATTTTCGGGTGGCTAATAAGATATCCCACCAATAACAACACCCTGTTCATGAACCAAAACAGCAAGGTCTTTAAAAATTTCATTAGCTTCTCCAATTTGATCTTGTATGTCTTCAATGCCCTGTTCCCTCTCCTCAATAATGGCTTCATTGAATGCAATTTCATTTCCCATCAGTAGAACCTCCTGCCTGAGTAATTTAAATCAATGAAAATTTGTGGTAAGTGAAGGTTCTTTTAAAATATCCACCACTACTAAGGATAATGTGATAGCAAGATGGCCAAAAAACCAGTTAAATATGGTTAGTATCAAAAGAATAGCGAGAAAAAAGGTATAGATTTTAAAAGAAAACAAAAGTTGCATAGCTGGCAAAAAAAGCATACTGTATACAAGGGGAATGCTAACATTCCTTGACATGGAGTGAAGCTAGCAACTCCCCACATTTATCTAAAACATGTATACGTGGTCAATTGGAAACTATTAATTTTCTCAACTTTACATTCAACCTCTATTGTTTTCCCAAAGCAAGCTTCTCTTCCTTGCTCGTATAACAGTACTGTCATCTGACATCACCACCGGCAATGATTATCTAGTCCTCTAATCTTCAGATCCTTTCAATTACCATCGATGATTTTTCGATATGAAATTGCCATTGATAATCATTTCTTGGAGGACAAAGATCTACTAATATTTACAGAAAAAAGCCCTAAGATGACCATGGAATCCATAGCAATTCAAGGGGATTTAAAAGGGGGGGGGGGGGGGGGGATGAAAGGAACAATTAGATTTAAAGATTATATATATTTTTTATTGAAGATCCTGAAGCCACTGTTTGGGATACTATTTATGGAGGTTTGGTATGATTGAGATAGAGACCTTACAGAGTTCAACCAAAGATTTCACTCTGATAAAATTGGGATCTAGCCAGTGTCACCCATGTAGTAAGGGATGTTAGCGACATACCTATTTAAAGGCAAATTACAAAAATTACCCATGAATTTTGCTCTTATTCCCCTATGCTTTTAGAAACTAGAGTTAGCTCCCGTAGATCAACAGTCAACTAAAGGAGTTGAACGAAATGTTGAAATGACCATTTTTCCCTTTGGTCAAAGGCAAATAAAACTCAACCTAGGTCTGAGTGTGAATACATCAAGGATATATGATTAGATCTAGCATACTTCCTTAAATTAGATTTCAAAACTTGTTTGCGTCAGCCAAACCAAAAAAATTTTGGTCTTGACCTTTTCAAATCAAATTTCCCACATGTAATGTCCCCAGTAAACCTGGAAAAACAGTTCAATTATGAATAAGCGTCTGAAGGTTGATGCTCAGCAGGTTCAACTACCATACAAGCTGTTTCATCTCTCCTCTTAGAACCTGATGCCCTAGTCAAAACTTAAGGTAGAAAATGATAAAAGATAAACTATAAGAACATAAGTGACAAAAAAAGAAACCAATCAAAGGAAGTCCTGAAAAGCTGATATATATAAGGATTCAAAGCCCAGAAATTTCTCCAATTGTAATGCGAGTGATAAATAAATGTGTTAAAAAGAAATCTATCCGTATGTCTATGCAGAGCAATTAAAAGGATACAAATCTCCACAGTAATTACAACCAACATCTAATAGAAATATCAGAAAACAACTTGTAACATGTACATGCCTACCTTTTCTGTTCCATAAGAAATGGCTGGTTCTCCTGTTCCACGTTCTGAGCCAAATGCTCAGCAGAGCTGGACCTGCTTCCAGAACAGAAGACATAAGTTACTTACATGATTACGGGGAGGGGAGGAAAGAATTAAACATTTACGTTGAAGACGAGGGTGCAGCGGGTAAGTATGTAGACTCGCGCTCAGAAGCAAGCTGTTGAACTTTCTGGAATTCTTGTAAGGTAGTCTGAAAATCTCTTGCAAGCTTAGCATCTTCTAATCTTTTAGTTGGCTGAATATCAAACCCAATTGAATATTGTTGGTTATACCATAAAATATTTAACACCACTGACAATTACGAGATATGAATTAAAACAGGCAAAGTTATTTCGTGCAAGAACACCTTGATGATAAGGCTCAAATTACAGCATTCAAAATCATGTTCAATATAGCAGAAGAGCTTTGGACTGGCAGATGAGTTTGGAATTGAAATCAAGGTCAAATGAATTGCATTCGTGGGATTTTACCTTAGCTTTCTTGAGTATGTTAGAGCAACACTAACAATGAACAGTACGTTGTGATTAACCTCATTATAACCTTACTATGATATTGTGATTGGCATACGACTGTCTCATATGGTCATATCCTACAGGCCCAATACTCCACGATGACTGATGATAAGGACACAAAATCTATAGTTAGGGTCTGCTTGACAATCTGACAGGTGACAAGAAAACATTTGATTACCTAAATAAACCCTAGGATGGTTTGTACATTAATCAGCAAATGAAACAGAGGACCTAAACAAGGAAAGAATGATGTAGAAACAAACGCGTGTATTTCATTTTGTGTTTTTTCACTACTAGAGTACTAGGAAAGGAAGTAAGTACACTAGATTTATTTTGGTAACCATGAACACATGTGAGTACCATACAGGATCGCTTTATTGACTTTGTGCAATTTTTTTTATTTCAAATAAAAGAATAACCAGTTTTCTGAATCAATGTCGTACGAAAATAATAAGAATAGGAAGGGTTTCATGTCACATATGACATCTGAGTTAGATGACATAAAAGCTGAAATTCAGGTTTATTAAAGAAACGGAAAGAAGGGGAGTGTATGGACAGAAGCATGAAATCCCGAAATGGAAAAGATAAAAAAAAGAATAATTATAATAATTTTGACGGAATTGGTAAAGGAAGAAGAGGTGGGGGTGTGAGAAATGATTAGGGAAACGTACATCAACGTTGGCACCGCGCTCGGATTCGCTAAGGGATTTGAGCTTAACAGAAGTTTCCTTCACCAACTGCAGTATCCGTTGCCTTGTATTGTGCCTGCCCCCAAATCAATAGTCATTATCCACAGTCCAATTAATTCTAAGAATTACCATTACGATCACATGTAAAATGGAAATAGGATAGATCAAGACTCGGGAGGAACAAGAAAAAAGACTGTAAGTCGAACAAGTATTCCTTCTAGAGAGAGAGAGAGAGAGAGAGAGAGAGAACTGACAGCTTCTGACGGTGGTCGGAAGTGTCCTTGGAAGTTCCGATGGCCTCGACAAGTCTACGGAATCCGGCAACAGCAGTGTTGATCTGGAAAATCCCAGCGGCCACGGACTGCGATGGATTCTGAGACGACGGCCGACCACGCCAGGCAGAGGAGGAGGGCTTGCCGCCATTCTGAATATCTTGGAAGCTCATTCTCAGTAATCCTAATACATATAACCAACCAAATCAAATATGAATGGCTGGATAGAGGAATCAGAGATTAACATTGACAGGTGAAACATTAATACTAGTCTCCAATCCAATCCCATCCAATCTAATCATAGAAACACCCACCAATAGTATGTAATTATGTATTCCCTGCCCCGCCCAATATACGAGTGAGTGAGAAGTGAATTAATGCAATTCAAAAAATTGATTATTAAAAGTAGGTGCAAAAATTTTCTTTTACTTTTAGTTTTAGATAGATACCCACCCACGCACCCAAACTACTACTACCCGTAGAAAATACGCTCATGGGACCCTGAAATTTATTTTTGAAGACTCAATATCAATAAACACAGGTACTAACGGTGGTGTCTTAGTCTTTATTTATTTATTTATTTATTTTTTGAAATGGGAGGATATTTTTTTTTGGGGGGACATAAACGAATAGCTACAATTGATTTATTGCAATTATGTGTATCAATTCTAATACTATATTATGTATATCCAACACATCGTACAAATATTTGACTGCTTTATTAAATAAGTGAATTTTCAAATTAACTAATATTGATAGAGTGTATCAAAACTAATCTCAAATTATTTTGTGATTGATTGGCTCCATCCAGCTGTAATTTCAATTTGTAACTTAACCCAAAAATTATGACTTAATCTAACTAGTTTTTTTTTTTTTTTTTATGTTTTGAAAAAGCAATATTGAAATTCAAGCATCCACTTTGAATTGTTTGCTTTTGTTCACTATTTCCTTTTTTTCTTTTAAGGATTTTAGTACAAATCCCCGAACAAAATGGATTTGAGCACCTGATCTAATCATTTAACCAGTCCCCGTGATACTATACTACTATGGGTACCAAAATGGATCGGCTTGAGCTTGACATTCTATGACCCTTTCAACTATTAGATTTACATCATATTGTTCAGATGAGAATAACTTACTAGTAACCTGAATCGAAAACCGTTTTATTCCCATTCAAACACATGTTTGATAGTCCTATTCCTATCATCAACACTTCCCCAAGCACCCTTCCAAAAAAAAACAATGATGCCCGATAAGATTTACAATTGTATTGCTGTAGGCTTAAAATCTGCCTTTACAATAAATGTTCCAACAAGGTAAAGCAGATACAAAAATAAAAGCATTCCTTGTAAGAATTATGAGGATGGAGGTAGGAATACCACATATAACTGACTAGAGTTCTGTAAGTTACTCCTAGAATGAAGAATTTCCTTTATATTTGAGATAGATAGATAGATATTACCTGGGGTAATGGCCTAACATTGCACCCTTCACATTGATAATCCTGCAAAGGGAATGCTAGTCCAGTCAGGATAGCTAAAGGATAAAATTATCTGGAGACTTGAGTTTGCATAGCTTACATTCAAATACTATTCTGCATTTGACAAACATTGTAATCTGGTCAGGCAGCAGACATCATCACCATTCACCACCACAAGAATTGCTCAATTCAAGTATCAAATGGCTATGCCAAAGGCATTTAATAACATTTAATTTATGCAAAACCATGCCTGCTTCGTAATACCAGGGGGATCTATCCAGCAGACCTCATGATGGACAGATTCTTTTTGTTTGCACATCCATGGAATCACCTTATGCAATATCATCTTGATCTATAATATGGACATGCCCAAGAATTAGCATCTCTATGCCGTAGGAACTAGTATTTTATAAGGGCTGGTAGTGAAGCATGAAGTTCAGCTAGACACTGGAAGATCCAATTTAGCAGCTGTTCTCGTGGCAGCTCCAGAAGCAGTTCTGCCTGTAAGCAGAAGAAGAGAAATATGACATAACTATGTATAAACAACCTGCAAGTTCAAAGAAAGATATTAAGTAGCAATTTTTTATCTTGAACAGAAGTCAACAGGATGGAAGAATATAAAGATAGGAATGAGCCCCTCCAAAACGTCGACAATACACACAAGCAGGCAATTTAAAAACAAACACTTGATGGAGGGATCTTTGACAAGTCAACATCAGCTAAATTCCCAAAAGATTATCTTTGTGACCTCTTGCTTAACTGTAGCTTTGAAAAATGTAGAGTTCAATATCACAGATCAAACAAAAAGGTGGGTCAACAATTTTGTTGTTAGTCTCCTACGAGCCTTCGGCTATTGGGTTTGTTTCCATAATCATGGAGCAATCATTGGGGAGATCGAGGAGCAAGAAACTAACACAAAAATATATTCAGATATAGGTACAAGCATAACTACCTTAATTTGTGCATCTTCAAAAACAAGTGAATTTCGGTGTATGTCGGATGCCATCGAGTAAGTTATCAGCTTGAAAACCTTCTTGTTCATGTTTGTTTTCATGCCAACAATCTTTCCCAGAGCATATATTCTGGTAATCCCTAGATCTGCTGCCATTCTCTTCACATAAAGTTTCTTCAATAGAATTTCCATGGAGTAAGGCTCCTTTCCATACTGACGGCGCAGATTCTCTGTAAATTGCATTAAACTCCAGATGTCTTTTCCAGCAGCGATCTCAGCTTGATTCATTATTTCCATGGGATTCTCCAGATAATTTATGTACTCCGAAGGAAGATGAGGATTTATATTCATATCAAGCTGACATTGGGAAATATAACAAAATGATAGCAATTTGTGGAATCTACAAATTTGCACCTATCCCCCAGATCAGTCTGAAGGTAAATACGAAAGCCTAACTATACAAAAACCAAATACACAGGGAAAGGACTTGCTGAAAAAAAAAAAAGACACAGGAATCGTAACAAAGTTCTCCAACTACATTGAAGTTCTTTTTCTTTATCCTTACATAGAATATTGACTAACAAATTATGATGCATATTAGAGCCCAGACAAATCCCAAAACTACGATAGATACACAGTGTTATACATGCATGATATGTGTAAGGTATATATGTATGTATCATCTTACTCTAAATTATTTCTTATGTATCTTCAAATGAATATCTGCCCTTATATTTCAATATATGCAATATGGGTACTCACCCAGTAAGCAAATATTTTGCTTGAAATTTTTCAGGACCATTACATTCAAATTCCTTGGTGCATTACTTGCTCAAATTTTTTAATAGATTCTGAAATTGCAGCATTTACTTTCCCATTTCCAGACATCTAGAAAGTTTCTGACAGCTAAAAAATATAAATAATTGCCAAATGGATCTTAAAACATATCAACAAAATTTAAGTAATTAATATGAAGAAAGCTCAGATAATTTCAAGCAAATACCTGCACCGATTGGTAAGGAACTGAGATTACACGATGTTCTTCAACCTAGATTTCAACCAAAAGAATATCTTATGATGTAAGAGCAAAAAACCGGAAGTCACAGCAAGTGTAAATACTCCTACTAGCAAAATGTGCAATCCTAGTTCAACATTTTCAATACACAGAAGAAACTGGACAGCAGCAACTCTTATGTTTTTAGGCACAACAATTATGGAGAGTAGCTATATATCATGATTTATGCACTTCGTTCGGAAAACATGGCACAAGTGGAATTTTAAACGAGGTTGAAGGCATTGAAGATGACAGTAAGAGCTAACAATTGATTCATGTAACAAAGGCACCATAGAGCTAAATGAAGAACAGATCATGGAGAACAACAGACCTTGGACAGGCTCTCAAAAAGCATTTCAAAGAAAAGATCAATGCCAACATTTCCAACATCTCCTGTTTGTTGCTCACCAAAAATATTACCAAAGCCTCTTATAGCCATGTCTCTTTCAGCAAGTTGGAAACCTTGGCCTAGTTCGCGACACTCTTCTAGAGCTGCAAGCCTCTCCTGAATTGTCACCCTTAAAATTTTAATTCAAGCCATACATGAATCAACACAAAAATCTTGCAGCAGTAACTGCAAATAGGAAGATCTAGAACATGAGGAATCAGAGTAATCAGTTGGCTAAAAACAGGAGAAGTGATTTTGTTTTCTTGATAAGTAAAAAAATGGAAAAACTATGCACAAATGTAAGAGAACAGCTACTGTTAAGCTATTTATATTTGTTTATCATTAGGGGTAGTCTAGTCTTTTTCTTATTGTAGGGTTTGCTATTGATTAATAGAATATATGATAGATTTATCTTCTCTTCTTCTCTTGTCAGAAATTGATATATATTTTCAGCTATGTCATAGATAGTACATCTGATAATCTCCAGGTTATATCGTTATAGCTTTAGTATTTACATATATAATATTCAGAGAGGAAATGGAAAAAGAAAACGAGAAAGAAAGAAAGCATACCAGTGCTTGATCAGAAAGCAGTGATTTATCGTGGTAGAATAAGTGTGCATGAGCTTCCTTATCTGCCCGCCCCACCCTTCCACGCAACTTTGGAATGGAAGTAAAAGAAAAACGAAAAATAAAAAGAAACTCTAAGAAAAATAAAGTTGCAATAACTATTACTATCACTTGTTCTATGAACAAAATTATCCAAACAATTGAAAAGGTACACTCTAAATCAATTCAAGCATGCCTAAAGTTGGATTGGTCTATGCATACAAAGAAATAATTTAATTTGTAATGGCTCTACCCTACGTGTCCACCCAGTTTGTTCTCTTAGCATTTACTTGCAAGTGCGAGGGAGGGAGTAGGACAGAAGTACGAAATCAAGCTTGTGATAGTCTTATTCGAGCTTGTTTTTTGTAGTTAAACCAAGCTTGAGTCTATTTCCAAGTTCATTATATAAGAAACTGACCCTAATTAACACCATGCAGGAGTCACCTTCAATTGAAAGTTGGTAGCATAAATAATTTGCGACAGAAACTCAAAGTCAATAAGTTAAATGCCTTTTTAATTAAATTTTGAGTTCTGACCATAAGACAGACAATTAGCATTCAACACTACGGGTCCTCTGATCAGAATCGCTTTGTGGTTCCACATTTAACATCTCATTTGAACCAAGCCAAACTAGCCCTTGTAGCTTGCTATAGTTTTTCAGCAGAGCTTGAGCTGCGTTTGAGAGATGTACTCCATTAAAAAGACTCCAATCCTATCAAGTGGGCTCAATTAGGCTGTACTATACTTAAAGACATCAAGGTTGTGTACTTGGTACATGGGACAACAAGTCCTACCAATACCATGTATCAGCGGTCCTACTTCCTGATTTTAGAATTCAGGGATTTTGGAGAAAACCAAAGTTCTTTTAAGTAAATGTATGGTACACTTGGTTTTAACCCTAGCTTTTTTATTGGTTAAAGTTAAATATGCATCTGGGAGCATTCCTAGTCCTTTTTTTCCTTTTTACATAAAATTGAAAGAGGAAGAGGATAATGAGGAGTCAACAAAAGAAAAAAGTAATCTATGGCTATGTATATGCGCACATGTATGTCCATTAACCACAGAAAATCAGAAGAACCACATTTTCAAAAAGTCATGAAAGTCTTACGGGATATCATTTCCTACAGACAGTTTCCTGCAACCAAAACATGAGCTGTTACTTTGTGTAAAACACTATAATAACCTAACGATTACTCTTTATCCGCATGGCAAACAAAAGAGAAAGAGAAGTTCTTGAGCGGATAACATAAATTTCAAAAAGTAGAGGGAGGGAAAATAAAACAAAGTTCTTCATTAATTCAGGGTAGAAACACTTCAAAATGAACAAACTTGATGATGTAAAAAAGATAAGTAGGTTGAAAATCAAATTTGAACGTTATGTGTGCATCCCGCATTTTCATACTAATATTCCTATCTCTCATGCAAGTAAAAATCAAGAAAAGAGAGGAACAAAGAAAAAACAAAACCTGATACAACTGTGCAAGGCCAAATTGTTGAACATCTTGAATTATGATGGTGTTGGCATTTTGGATATCAAGTCCACTTTCTACTATATTTGTACATATAAGAACCTTGAGTTCTCCTAGTGCAAAGTTTTCCATGGTTTCCTCAAGCTGTTTTGAATATTGCTGCCAAAATGGGCAAATAATGACATTTAAGAGCTCAATTTTCCAAAGTTATAACATGTAATTCGGAAATTGACAAAAAGCTGATACCCAGACATGGTAAAATCTTTTCACAAGTAGAAAACTGCATGAAAGAACTATAACAAACTTTCAGCAATTCCATGAAACACAATTGATATAGTCAACAATTACACACCATGAAAAATAAATAACCATATTCATATACAAATATTTGCTTGTGCCGGTGGGTCTTCACTGCATTATTATGTAGTATAGATTCTAACTTTCTGTTTTTCGTCTTACTAAATCTCATAAATAATTCCACTCATTTTTGAACATTTGAATGGTTTTTCATTTGAAAAAAGGTAAGCTATTAGCCTAATACTAGATTGAAGAATGACATGTTCTGGTTGACAAAAGAAATGCAAAATAATCAGGGAAACCGCCCTGAATCATAAAATAAAATAGACACTTAAAATGGGATAATTAGACAAGAAAGAGAGTAGATATGTGAAACCAAGCTTGCATGACCATCTAAATGAAAATAAAGGGAACTATGTCATTTACTATATGATGGATGTTTAGATTTATGGAGCTTTTTTTGAGTAATGTATTGGAGCAATCTACAGTACAAATGCCATCAAGTAAAATAAAGATTACCTTTCCATGAGCAATAGCTATTTCAACATTTGGAAATGACTGTTTAAGAAATTCCATCACCTCTTCAAGCCCTGTGGAGGGTGGTAAACCACAAATAAATAGAACAGTAACTGTGCGAGCTATAACTAAAAAGCCCATGCAAATTGCTCAGTTCATGTGCACAAATTTTACAATCTTCTATTCAATCTTTTAACTGTTTCTTTTTTTTTTTTTTTGAAAGGTACAAAACTGATTTCTAACTGAAAGACATGGAAAGCGGATGATATGTGTGTGCACATATATAAATCATAATACCAAAACCTAAATGAAAAAGATAAATGAAATAATTGGTAATTAGGTTACCTTTGATACGAGGCAAAACATAGAATACTTGCCCACCTCGGTCCAGCTCCCTCTCAATTGCTGATATAACCTTTTCTTTACTGTATGCTGATAGATGGGTTCTTATAGGAACTCTTTCAGGAGGCGGGGTTGTAATCAGACTGGATGGAAAATAAAGATGCCAAAAAAAAGTATCATAGACCAATCAATTTTAAAATGAGCACTTTGTCAATTGAAATGAATCTCCCGCTAAGGCGCTGTACATATGGCCGCAGGTCCATGGATAAAAAATTCATTTCAGACACCAAGTGAACAAGCCACCAGGAATTTTTTCAACAAAACTGTTTTCAACGACGACGCAAGTCCACTAGACAATGTTGGAACACATACCATTTAAAAAATTGAATTGTGTGATGGATACTCAAAAAGTCAGATAGATATATGAATCAGTTCACACCCTAAAACACTTTGACTAGTATCTGTGGCATTACCTAGCATCACGAAATCCAGTCAATGCTAGATAAAGGGTTCTTGGTATAGGCGTTGCAGAAAGAGTGAGAACATCAACCGAAGTTTTAAATGAAGCAATCTTCTCCTTCTGTTTGACACCAAACCTCTGTAAATCAAAAGAAGCATTGCAAATGAAAGTCAAGCATTCTTCTAATAGTCAGGCATGATAACCAATATATCCATACAATTTGAGCATACTGGAGAGAAGCCACAGAACTTGATGTTCAATTGCTTTCCTTGTCAACTATACTCCGTCGTCTCCAATTGGTCGAGGTTCCAGAGAGTTCCTTTATAGGTCGAATGCATTAATTGTTCAGTAAAAAGAAAAACTAGAAATGTTACTTGGAGAGATTAGCCAACTTGAGAGGGCATTGGAAGTAATCTTCCTTTTTTGGCACCTATTTGTAGAGCACAACTGGAGGCAATATGTAACTTCAAGAAGTTTGCTATTTTTTTTCTAACAATTCGGTTCAAAGAAAGCTCAGCTCCAGGATAAAAGAATCATGCTGACACTCTTGACTGGAAGTTACTCGAGAGTAATAATCAGAAAAAATGTTTTGGAATATTTACTAAATGCCCGACACGTAACTATGAACAGATAGTCATCAGGTTGGGTTAAGGTAAGTAATGCATTGATCTATTACGACACTACGAAAATTAAGTAGAAACATCCTCTACTCCACTTCACAATTCGCAAACCCCACCCCCTTTTAACCAGTGATTAAAATTTTGTTTCGGTGCATTGTTTTGGTCACCTAAAAAATGGAAACATTTCGCTCCGTTTCGAAAAATAGAATGGAAACGAATAAAAAATTTGAGAATTATTTTTCAAAAACATTGATTGAATTATTACCAAAGCATCTTCAAATATTTTAAAACAATTGTATAAATGTATTGAAACATTAAAAAACACTTTAAAACATTATGAAATACCTCAAAGTATTAGAATTTCGATTCTATCATTGATTCGTTTCGATTTCCTTAAAAAAGGGAAACATTTCAACTGTTTTGAAATGAAATTTTAATCTTTGCCCCCAACACATCATACTAGGCAGCTACCAACGAACTTGAATTAATTTACATGTAAAAAGGAATCTCAAGGTCGTAAAAGTAAACTTGCAAGACACCCAAAACATCTTATCACCCATTCTATATTTTTGAAAAATATAGCATGACTGGTAATGATGCTGGTGAATGAGGCGCATATCTATCTTACATGAAGGCAAAAGAAAACTTTGAGGCTAATATGTTCCTCATTAACAAGAAGGTGCAGAACTAGCACATAAAGCCACTTGATGGGGATCGTGTAGGAAGTATTTATCTTTTAACCTTTAAGAGTTTAGTTGTCATTTTAATTATTTATTTATTTTAGGGTTTGTGATTTCCTTATATATATAAGATTTGTGAATTCCTTGCATATATAGGGGATACATATTTGTTATGAGACTAAATTTTAATTATTGATTATTGATATTGAATCTTGATATTGCTTCCTCCTAAAATTCTTTCTCTATTCTCATATAGTCATTAGTGATCATTCAAAAGTCCAAACTGCCCTAGAAAAAGAGGTTGAGATCTTTGAAATTGGAGTTGTCAATACTAAACATTCACTCGGTCAATTACGTAAAGAATGGGCATTTGAATGGTCACTAATGACATTGAAGATTGATCCAAATTGACCTTGATGATGACTTTGGGAAGCATGACGTTGGTAATTGTTATGTGACCTAAGTGTCCCAGAGTAGTATTCTAGATAATTAATTGTTATGTGACCTAAGTGTCCCAGAGTAGTATTCTAGATAATCTTCATGATAAAATTCAGACTTACTATGGACTTGATATTGCTTCTTTCTAAAATTCTCTTCCTATTTTCATCCCCTTCTTCCCTTCTCATCCCTAATTCTTCCATAATACGATCTACATCACCACTTCATGACAAATTTCCCTTGACTTTTTGGCCTCACTTAAACTAATATAGGAATTTATTTTCTTGTTCTAATTTTTCTATTACCAAATTCATTGCTTTCTTTTGATTAGATAAACACAAGAAAATTGAAATCTATGTATGTGATAATGCACATAAACAACTAGGGGATTTCATTCACAGCATAAAGGATGAGGAAGCAAACCTGTTCCTCGTCAACCACAAGAAGACCGAGATTATTGTAAACAACACGGCTGCCAAGAAGCGAGTGAGTCCCAACAATAATGTCCAGTCGCCCATGTTTAATCATACGCAAATACTCATCTTTCTCTGATTTAGTCTGCATATTGTAACAGATTATCCGACAAGAGGGTAAAAGTTCTAGTGCTATCCCATATTATTGTCCAAGTGTAGGGCAAAAAAATGATGATGCACTGCATTTTCTGACGCAGATTATGGATGCTTAAATTTGGGATAAACTGAACACAACAACCGCAACACCTAATGCAACTCCTTAAGATGTCGTGCTTCATTGTCAAATTTAGGATTTGAGGACCAAGAAGATGTTGTAGGACAGAATTCAAAATCAAAGGACACCAAAAAAAAAAAAAAGAAATCAACAAAACCTAAGCATCAAATATTTGATTCCGGAAAGAGAGTCAAAAATAATGGGAAACTAAGAAAATGTTGGAAAATGAATTTGAACATCCAAAATCCTGTAAAAGAAATGAAGAGAAAACATGATATAGTTTTACAAAGAGAAAGTAAAGATGCCGAAAGAAGTCCGAAAATGACTGTAGAGAGCTAATAAAATATTTTGAAAATGATAAATAAAATTTTATCAAATTCTATCACGCTCTCATTTTTTGAACAAACTTCACTGATAAACATCAAACAATGTCTAACATACCACTCTGACCTACAGCACCTAAATAACAACTTGTTAGCACAAGAATAGAGGGCATAACTAGCCAGATGTTAGCATACCTGAAACCTGCTCAAAAGTCCAACTTTGATATTTGGATACTTTGAGAATCGCTCCAAAATTACATCAAAATGTTGCTTAGCTAAGACGATTGTTGGTGCTAACACCATAGCTTGCTTCCCAGCTGATACCACACAAAAGATGGCACGTAATGCAACTTCAGTTTTACCAAAACCAACGTCTCCACAAATTAATCTGTCCATTGGAGTTTCTTGTTCTGTCAAATCCTTCTCAACATCTATGAAAGCCTGTCAAGAGGGTCCAAGCCATATACATCAAGAGCATCCAGCAAGCAAAGCAGGACCATTAGAAAAAATGTAAAATACTATTATTTTCAGTTATATCAAGAAGTCGTGTGTATGACTAATGGATTTCTTGAATACAGGCTTCAATATGCATCTTTTGTTGGAAACGACAAAAAAAAATAAAAATACAATTGTTTGGCATCATAAAGAGCCTGCTATGAAAAACCATATGATTTAACTAATTCTGGGAATGAAATGTAGTAGAACAACAAACAAAAGCAGAAAAAAGATACCTGTTTCTGATCTGGTGTGGGTTCATAAGGAAATTGAGAAACAAATTCGGCCATGATGGGGCTCTTTGGGTAGGGAGGCCTTCTTTGCTTTAGCCTGTGTAGATACAATTCCATCAAGTCAACAACCATTTTCTGAATTGCAACCTTTCCTTTTGTCCTTCTTCTCTCCCATGCACCAGGGTCGCTTAATTTGCTCAAGGTCCGTGGCCTTTTATTTTCATTTGGACTGGAAAGAGCATAAAATGTGAAACAATTATCAGATTGCAGGGATTGCAAACAAATTGCATATGTGTTTCTCAGGGAAGAGGCAGTGACATTTATAGAGACACATCCCACCGCAGTTTGTAAAACAGTAATCAGATAGAACTGCTTACCCTGTCTGGACACAGTCGCAGAAATCACACCTACACCTCATGCTCGAAGATATGTAATGCAGGGGTTGGAGGGATACTCAAAGACAGCCTACATACTAATTTTGATTATATTTTATGGTTTGATGATATAACTAGCAAAGACTAAGAAACAAGTTGGCGAACATTTATTTTTATATTCCTGGAACCCCCTCAACCACTGGTTAAAAGTGCTTTCGACGAGGGTGTAAACCATTTGCATAAACTTCTAAAGAACTAGAATAGAAAGAACAACGTCAAAGACAAACGAAATATTAGGTATGTAATACAAGAAAAAGGGGCAGCAAATTAGTGAAGAAGAGCAAACCAGAAGGCAAACGTACAGGTTATAGCGGTAGAGCATCCGAGACGCTTGCTTAACGGGAAGCTTTGCCATTCCGTCGGCATACTCTATGAAGACGTACTCGATTGGCTCCGTGGAGTCCTTGGGAACATCGAATTTGATCCCTACAAATCGTCCGATGCCGACCTTCTTATGGACGACGTAATCACCTGGACGAAGAGTATAAGGATCGACCTTGCAGCTGAAACTAGTCCTATCATCATTACCATCCCTTTTGTCGCCCTTCAATTTCTGCAGTCCCCTCTGTTGCTGCTCCTTTACCAGCCGAATGTACTTGTCGGCCTCTTCAGAACCCATAGCGGGCCTAAAAGCCTCTCTGTTGCCATGCTCGCGTCGAATCCTCTGGTGGAGAATGGAGATAGCGTCCCTCTCTGGCTGAATCTTGTCCATTGATGGCGGAAATTTGGTGGTGGTGGTGGTGGAGCAATTGGCTCCGGGGATTGAAACGCCTTGTGTGTAGATTGCATTGTTGGTTGCGCTGACTAATGAGGCTGATAGTGGTGAAAATGAACGTTTCCGTTGGAGTTTCCAAAGCCGCCGCCGCCGCCTATTCGGGGAAGATTCCAGTTTGAAGAAGACAAGAGAGGGAACATCTTCTGCTCCGGAAATGGAGATGGGGAAGAGAGAGGTTTTGACGATGGCCATTTCTTCTTCTTTTTTTACAAAATTGAATTCCTGAATGAATGAATAGCTGCTGCTAATCTGTAAATAGGTGTATATATATATAAATAAATGCAAATAAAGTCGTAGAGGATGTTTGTTGTTTCGCCAACAGGAACAGGGTTTTTACAATAATTAACAGAATTGGAATTGGGGCTTAAGAGTTACTAAGACAGAGCCACCGCAACCGCAATCGCAACCATTTCTTCTTCTTTTTGTTTCTGATATTTACTCGCTTTTTCGGTGTAGTTCAAACCATGTAATGTAACCATATATTATACAAGTTTTTTTTTTTTTTCTCCTTTTTGAGGGAGGAGGGGGGAAGGGGGCGGGGTAAGTAACAATAATGTTAAAATGACTAATAACAACCCGTGTTAAGAGATATCAAGAAATTCAAAAAATTTTGAGCACCGGTTATATAATATAAATACTTTTAAATAATATTTTATTTTTTATTATTTTTTTAATTACATAATTCAAAATCAATTTGAATATATTATTTTCTTAAAAACATTTGACAAAACTTTCTTTGAAAACACGTCCCTTAAAAAATATCAATATATACACAATTTATATATATTAATCATTATACTTCAAAAATATCTCTTTTTTTTTTATAGGGGTCAATATTGGTGGGTGTATATAGAGAGAGTGAGTATCAAACAAATAAAGAGAAAGAACTATATGAGATATGAGATAAACGTATAAAAAATGAAAAAGATATACGAGAGATCAGATAAACGTATGAGAGATGAGAAAATTATATAAGAGATGGGAGAGTGTGTGTTTAAATTATTTGTTAGAGAATCCTTCTTATTAAAGTTTTAATGGGTATTAGATTAATTTGTTAATATTCGATATATATAATCGTCCAAGCCAAACTCACCCACTCATATTACTTTATTATTATATGCATTTATAATGGAGAGAGTGTGTGTGAGTATGAGGTAGATAGAGTAATAGGAGGGTGTGTGTTTTAAATGTGTGAGAGATATACGAGAGATGTAAAAGGAATGAAAATCAAATTAAGATCATATAAATAGATATAGGATGACATATGTTAATGGAGTAATGATATGTATCTTAAATTTATAACCTAAATTTGCATCACAAATCAAGGAGAACTATTGGATCAGTGGATCTCATTTAAAAAAGTTGATAGGACCCACTAATCTAATGATCCTCTTTGATTTGTGATATATAGCATTATTCATGTTAATGAACCTATAATTTATTGCAAATAATCCTTGTTATTAGAGTTTTAATGAGTATTTAAAAAGTAAACTTGATTTTCACAATTATTGAATAGGTAATAGATCCCAATAAATGATTAATGGTTGTGATTATTAAGTCAACTTTTTAAATCCATCTAACATTGTTTATGCTCTGTTTGGTAGGGAGGATGGAAAGTAGGAAAGATACACTTTCCTTCCTTTTGTGTTTGGTTGGATGGATGGAAAATAAAAATAGTTATTTTTTTTTTTTTTATGCTGGCTAAGATTAAGGGTGACAATCGAGTCGAGTCGTATCGTATCAAATTCGTGTTGAGTCATTACAAATTTGTGTCGAATATTAGTCAAACTAACTTATCTCATTTAACTAATTATGTCATGTCGAATTACGAGTTGACATGTTTATTTTCGTATCGACTTCGAGTCGTGTCATCGTGTTGCGTCTAAAATTTTCACTCTTAGTTAAGATGGGAAAAATATTTATTTTTAATTTAAATTTTTTTAAAATATATATACATATTTTATCATTATATTTTTATATGAAATTAATGTATACATAAGATATATAGAGAAATAAGATCCATCTCAACACAAATAATTAACTTTTCATCCACTTTCCTTCCGATTTTGGAGGGATTAATTTTAGTGGGTTGGAAGGAAAGTTAATTTATCCACTTTTTCATCTTTCCTACTTTCCTTCCTTACCAAACATGACGTTTTATTTATCCCTCCAACTTTCTATCATTTCAACTTTTCATCCTCCCACTTTTTCATCGTACTAAACGAAGCATTAGAAAGAGATAAGAGAATGTGTGTTTAAAATGTGTGAGAGATATGAGAGATGAGAGAGTTTTAGAGTTGTAAAAAAAAATGAAAAGTCCAATTAGGGAGAGAAAATTTTATCAGTTAGTATGAGAAAATAAGAAAGAGTTAGATGAGAAACAGGAGTCTTAACAAAATTTTGCATGAGAACCATCAAGTCAATAATCGTCAAGCGATGTTAATCACGTAAAGTTCAAGATAAATTTTTTTAACTACTTTATTCTATAAATTTCCATTTTTCATCTCCACATCCTCCTCGTAAATTGTCATAATTTAATAATTTATTTATTCTTTATTTTATCTAAAATTTCATAACATCTCTTATGCAAAAGAATTTGACTAAAACTCTCTAATTATTATGAATAACAGTTTGTTGAGTAATCAATTTAAGAGTCCTAATAAACTATTAATAAGTTTATTAGTGATCTAGTCAAATAGGAAATAAGTTGAAAGAGTTTTAATATACCATGAATAGGTATATTAAAATGAGATAGAATAAATAAAGATCAAGTTATATTTAAATAGATTTCGGTTACAGTATTTTATTCCTATAAATAAGGATGTAGATTATGTAATCAGTTATCAGATGATCAGTTTTTCAATGAATAATACATTAATTTAGATTCTTGATCCATAAATGTAGGTACGGTGTGCCAATGTTTTATTGTTTTCTGATTTTTGAATTCTTATTTTTCAACAAGTATTATTTGTGTTAATTATTCGGTCCGTAAAACCAACATTATTGGATAAATCCCCCTTCCAATCAATGTTGATAAGTCAATTGAGACAAAAATAAATGGTTATTTTATATATGAAATTAAATTATTTCCCGATGATGATGAGTATATCATCTCATTTACAAATATCCACTAATCAACCAACATGTTATCAAACGTTGAACTAACTAATTGTAGAAACATTCGTCCCTTCTCACTTTTTTGTTTGGGAAATGCTTTTCTTTTGTTTTCTACAACACACACACGCATGGACAGACACATCCCCTCTCTCCTATCTGATTTTTCAGTTGATTTCTGTAGAATGGGAGGGGATAGTGGCCAACGATGGATCGATGGTTAGCCTGCTCTGCTGGTTATGAGAGAGGGAGGGCGGGAGGGAGGTAGGTGAGGTGATTGATAATCTCAACAACTAAACCTTGGGAAAACTTGATTTGATTGTTTTTCAGTTGGTTTTATTTAATAGAATATTTTTTATCTAATTTGAGGCTTTTTGGGAATGGTAAATGCTCAGATGTATATGGTTGAGCCCAATCATGAGATTTCCTATCCACATCTAAAGGCTCGGTTTTGTTTTTTTATTATAAGTCTGATTATTTATTTATTTAAGCTTAAGCTTCAATAAGGTCCATCAGTTCGGTTATGGCGTCTTGAGCTAAGGGGTGATGATTAAAGTGGACTGGTGTACGTACAACTGCAACTTGCAAAAAGGATAGAATCAAATGTAATGAGTTGTGTTGTATCTACCTAATTCTTTTATGTTGGTGATAGTTTTGCTGACATGCATGTTGGTTGTTGATTGGATTATCAATAAAACAAATGGTTCACGAGTAATTCAAATATAATTTAATCGGCAATCAATCAACAACTTGATTTACATACCAATCAATCAATTATGTATCAATCCCACGAAACATTGCCACCACTATAAACACTTCAGCCCTGCACTCTATATGCAAGAATATGCAAGAATAAGATGATGCCCTCAGCCCTGCACTCTCTACTTTCCTCCTTGATAAGTTGTTGGATCAATATGGCTATGGCATGCACAATTAATACATCGGATAAATGATCGATCATGTGTGTTTGTCTGTCGCGTGAAAATGGGGTGGGACCTGGGAGTACTAGCTACTTGTGACTTTCTGAAAACGTGCAGTTAGAAAGAACCACAACAGAGTTTTAGTGAAGGAACCATGCATGCAGTACGCAAGATAAAAACCAAGTCAGAGACAAAAGGACGATGTAGGATGTGCTCTATCCAACTCCCACAGAACCTGAACGATCATGGATGTTGTCACAAAAGCCATCATTATCATGGTTGAACATTGGAACAAGTAGCTTGCAGAGTTTGGAACTGAGTTCTTGGAATTGGGTGGTACTGCACCTGAAAATGAATTGAACATACACTCATGAAATTAAACATGTACGTATAAATTTCATTTCTCAAATATTCAGCCTAAGGAAGGTCAAGCCTATGAAGCTAGTACTCTCTACCTCTGAGGCAGCCAATGGGGTTAACATGTTGTCCGCATCTGCCAGGTAATTCCTGGGCCTTGGTTACGTTGATGCCCGCCTGCTCAGCTTCGTTGGTGCCCTTGATGCTAATCATACTGCATAAGCATTCTGGCTTCTGCTTGATCACCGATTTCAAGGGATCACAACAACTATCTGGGGGGTCTTCTCTACCTCTACTGCTCCCATTTAGGTAGTTCAGGCAGGGAAGAAGCTGGTTCAGGCAGGTTCTGTCTTGAGCCCAACCCTCTGGCACCAAAATGGACAACATTACCACTGCAGTCCCACAGTATGCCCAAAACCTTGTCCCCATATGTTTACTATTTACTTCAATCAATGTTTTAATTGTGTGTGTGTGTGTGTGTATTTATATATATGATGTTTTAATTGTGAGTGCATTTATATATATAGAGAGAGAGAGAGAGAGGCCTGCCTGTATTGATGGTTAAAGTTGGTGATCTAACTGGTGGTTTCCCAGTTGACCGTAATATATATAGTTGTAAGGTAAGACTTAAAGAGAGCACAAAAGGCCATAGACACCGTGAAATAATTAGTTGAGCTACTTTCCCAAAACAGACAAGCTTTTAAGCCTTATGAGGAAGATTTTTGGAGGGAGGGAAAAATAACAAAACAAAATCCATCTTGCTATATATTATATGAAAAGTCAAGAGGAAGAGGAAGAGGAAGATCCATGCCCACCGACCCCCTCTTAGTCTTAGGTTAGGTCTGCTCTTTAGTATTTGCCAACTTTTGTTGCAATGGACCAAAGAAGATCCCATTCATTCGACTCTTATGATATCCGAGACTCATTCAGAGGCTAATTGAAAGCATGGTCTTAGTTGGAATTACGGTGTCTGTCTGTCATAAATAAGAAGCTTTCCCGTGCATGGCCAGAGCCAGACCAAAGCTTAGAACCCAACATCCACCAGCATCTGCCATAACCAAAGTAAACTCCAAAATTACATCTCAACATCATACTAAAAACAGATTTAGAATTCGAGGAGTAAAATTATGTGAACCTGGAAGCAATAAATAATAACCCATGTTCAGATCAATCAATCCATTCTCAGATTATTGGTTGACATGAAACTCAAAACTCTGTCTTCTATACACATATAAGGTGCAAAATATAAATAAATAAATAAAAATTCAAACAGCTACATGAAATCTTTTTGTTCCAGATCCTAATGCAAATAACTGAGAAAGGGACATAAGACTTGGTTTAGTTTAGTTTGGTTTGGTTTATCCTAATGCAAATAACTTCAACCTTCTCCAATCGGCAAGGCACTAATTCCCTCCATATCCCCCACTGATTCAGTCTAAGAAGAGCTTGGACTGTGGAGAATAATACCCTTACATCACAAAAATCACTAAACATGATATATCATGCCAACTTCGATAAGGCTAATGTGGGGAATGTTAAGTGCTACAGCAGGGCCCCTGCAGTTCTTACGGAGAAACGAATACCCAATATCAATAACAAGCTTTTTCAAAAATGAAGATGATCTCCTTGCCTTCACATAAGAGTGTCCCATTATGTATGCTACCCCAGCTTCCTTCGCCTGGACCAAATCCAAAAGCTCTTCCCTAACTAAAGGATCCATGCCAGGGCTTTGTGACAGTTGAAATGTCACCTGCCGCCTCCGAACCTGTGGGTTCTCATCATCATATGCAGATCGCAAACTCTGCAGCATTAGAGATTTGCTGCTTTGGATGGAGTCACTTGCACCAGAAACTTCTTGCTCAGATACTACTAAGGTCGAGTTCGATTGAATAGTTCGGGTGCTGATCACTGCCATCCTCCCATCAAATGATGTGTTCTCAGAGCTTGAGTACTGTGGTTCAACAGCTTCCATCTGGATGAACTCCGCAATACTTTGGATGAGTTGGTTCTCAAAGTTCCCATCATCTCGCTGGATGTCCTTATACCCATATCTCACAATGCACCTGTACATACGGTAGGGTCTTGGACAAATTCGGCCAATGAGAAATCTTTCCTCGGGGGAGACATAGGGTACTGGAACAGATTTTACACAAACAAATACCAACACATTGTGAAAAGCAGGGAGATTCGTCACAAAGTGTGAGAAGATTGCAGGCACTCCTGTTGCTAATTCTGAGTATATGAGACCGATTCCTGGCACACGCACAATACCAAGGCTGGGCCCCAGTCCAAGAATCCATTTTAAAGGAACTTTGTTGTGCAAATCAAAGTTGTATTTCTTGCGTGTTCCATAGTGCCAGACAAACATGATGACCATAAAGACGAAAGCAAGAAGGAGAGAGACCCATCCACCCTGAGGCACTTTTATGAACGCAGCCGACAGATAAAGACCCTCAATGAACCAAAATAAGAGAAGGAATGCAGCAGCCAGTAGGATGTTTCTCTGCCAAACGAAGATTATAACTAGTGCCATAAGAAATGTCGTGATAAACATAACCGTCATGCAAGCAAGGCCTGCCAATCAAAAGCCCAACATTAAGTAAGATATCTGTAAAAGCACAAAGAAGAAAAAGAAGACCAACAATAAGTAGAGTATCCATAAAAGTGTAAAGAAAAAGAAGAAGAAAATCGAGTCAAGTAGAAACTGAAGCGAACAGAAGCCACTCTTGCAACTATCAGATGTCAAGGGGTAGGGGCCCTCTCAAAGAATCATCTTTATAACAAAACTGACCATCATAAGAACCACTATATACAGTTATATAGCATAGAGCAAAATTCTGGAAATAGAGCAGGCAAGACCAGCCATGTCAGAGCAATTGCTTAACACTATCGTGTTAAATAGTGCACAGATCCAACTTTTAACATGCACTTAGATCATAACAAATTTCAATTGTTGTACAGTTGCCATTATCAATTAAATTCTTGTGCAAAATATTGTATCTAATTTAACTCAACAAAACCTTAATTCTAACTTTTTTAGGGCCGGCTACATGAATCTTTTTTCTCCACTGTGCTCTATCAAGGACCATATTTTCCATTACATCGTGAGACATTACATCCTTTTTTACTATCTTGTTCAGAGTTATTTTACGCCTACTCTACCTCTCGCATTACCATTGATATGTACCAAATTACTCCTCCTTATTGGTGCATTACTAGGTCTTCCATAAACATTTTCAAACCACCTAGGTTGATTCTATTTTAATTTATCTTTTATTGGTGCAACTTCTATGGTTCACAAATGTATTCATTCCTAATTCTATCCTTTCTCGTTTTACCACACATCCATGAACTTAATTTTCACTCCACATTTTTCTATTATATCACTCGTGAAAATATAGTCAATCTATTGGTGATGTGGGCAGTAAACACTAAACAGGAGGTACTAACAGACAGACACAGCATTTTGCAAGCAGATACCCATATCACCTTAATAGAGAAAAGGAAAGCATTTATGGCATTTATTTAATGCTATCAACTTTTTAAACATTTTCTAGAAAATGGAACCTGCCATATGTAACATATTCATACATATACAAAGTAGTGTATTTACATATGACCATCCTGGAACACACTTACCACCCGCCCTCTGATAGGGGGGAGAGAGAGAGAGAGAGGGGGGGGGGCACAACTTCCAAATTTGACAGACTTACCATATGCATTTCCAATTAAAGTTGTGTCACGGAACCCAATAGCAATTGCAAGTGTAAGAATCATGAGGGTCCAGTTGATTTCCGGTATATAGATCTGCCCATATATATTCTTTGAAGTGTGGACAACCTTGACCCGCGGAAAGCAACCAAGAGCATGGCATTGCTTGATGATGGAAAAAGTAGCTGTGATGATAGCCTGACTGGCAACAATGGCTGCTAGGGTAGCAATAACAAACACAGGCCAAAATACACTACCTGCATTGCAAGGATCAGACACAAATTTAGACCATATTTGATTCATGAACAGAATACTGAGAGTAACATTTAATTAGCTGTAAAAGAACTAACCAGGTATTGAGTGATAGAAACTGCTTGGAATGGAAGAAGTGTTTTTAGAGAGAAAAGCTGCCTGGCCCATGTATTGTACTACCAAACAAGGATATACCACAAATGCAAATGCCAGCTGCATGGACAAACAGTACTCAAATTCACCACAACAAAAAACATAGTATTCTGCAATAGTGTATTGACAGATGATCATAGGTACAACTATGATTGGGCTGGGAAAGTAACAGCAGCAGTAATGCTTATGGTCATATAATTCGTCTACAAGAACAGAACCTTAAACTTTTTCCCTCCCATGGACCAGACACTAATGATTAGCCAGGTGGCACAAGCTCCACCACTAATAATCTACCCAGGTAGGAAATATATGGAGTATGGTGGATCCATATACCCAGCACCAGAGAACCAGTAGCCCACTGATATGATCACCATATGCAACTGGTCCGCCCTTTATATTCGACTTAGTGTTTCATATAGTTAGAGTACAGGTCAAGATATGGGCTTTACCCTTATTGATAAGGCAGTGAAATGACCAAGATCTGCAAACATAGCTTCTGTACCTGAAAATCCCAGAAAAGGTAAAAGTTAGTATGGCATCATTAAAGAACACTTTCTCAGATCAATAAGAAATGGATTGTTTCTAAAAACACCAACTGGCTATATCCAGCAATGACTAAATCATTTGACCAAAAATGATAAATAACAAATTTTCAAAAACCATAGATTTGTTAACGGCAGATTCCACACCTGTTATTGAGAGAAGGATCCCTCCAAGTGCAATCCAGCCGTCGGTACCAGTCTCGCGAAAGTACTTGACAATATAATGTGGAGAAAGAGCAAACACAACTTTCGGATTCCAATATATGGTATTGTACAGACCAATGGAAAAAATTGATATCAACCAGATGATAACAATTGGTGCAAACAGAAAAGCTACCCTGTGGGTGCCGAAATGTTGCAGAGCGAACAGGCCAATCAATATGACACAAGCAAAAAATAGCACTTCACCTACAAACAAAAAGCAACATTGATAATCAGCAAACGGAAAAATAGGGCTATTGCTCGGGAGGCCTAAATAAATTCTGAGTATTGAAAGACATTCCAAATCACCAGTTTTGGTTGGGTTTTTTTTTTTTTTGGGGGGCGGGAAAAATGAGAACAGAGAACACAATGCCACTACTCACCATTGGTCAGATGTTGCTCAGTTTCTTGAAGCCCTGCTACTGATGATAAAACTGCAATAAAAAAATAAGCTCACTAGTAAATCTCTTTGAGCCACAAGAAAATTTCTGACCTGGTGCACATATCAGTCTTTTGTCTTCACAAGACTCACATACAACACTATCAGTAAGACAAATGGAAAATACCCAATGAAAACCAACACATCACTATAAACCTTCAAGCTAAACAAAAACAGAGAATGCAACTTAACATAATACACTGGATGATAATTTTAAAATTCACCAGAAGTTAATTGTTTCCACAATGGGATTAGACCTTTGGTTCAACCAAAATGACAGACAAAATCATGCAGTAAGGGTTTGTGTCCATAGACTCCATACAGCATTATAAAGATGCCACATTCATTGAATTTATAGCAAGCAAAACTGGGTCGTTTGATCAAATGGTACAATTATTAAACTGCATATGGAGGTTCATAAATAGATCAAAAAATGAACAAGGGGAAATGTAAAAATCTATTTTCTTCTCATTCCAAAGTTGCCGTTACTATACAAGGGGGGTAGAGTGTTAAGAAAGAGAAAGAGAAAGGGAAAGTGTTGTCACTATACGAAATGAAGCACTGTTACCCGAAATTCATAATGGAATTTAGCAACTAAGAATTCACAGATTCCTGCTCCGGTACAACGAATATAGCGGGCCAGATATAATAATAACATATAAAAACACTTCAAACTAATCCCACTTAATTAATAACACCACTTTGGCATTATGTTACCTGAAATGGCAGGGGTGATCACACCATCACCAATCACCATGGAAGCTCCCAATAATACCACAATGAGTAGCGCAGTCCGCAACCTTTTATGCTTCTCCAGAAATCTCTTAAGTGCTAAAGAGGATGTGGAATGTCCTGGGGGGCCATATTTGTAAGCAGACAGCTCCTCATCAGCTGCTTGTTGATTGGGAAGCAAACCAAACTTAGCGTGCCTGCAAAGTAGTGAGTAAAGAGCAAATGTCCCGCCTGAAATGGATGGAGATAATGGTCAGTCAAATAAAGTCAATTCCCACACTTAATTAGCACCATATAAATGAGTTTCAATGTCAGTATACCTTCACCATTATCATTAGCACTCAATAGCAAAATGACATATTTGAGCAAAGGAATTAATGTTAGGGTCCAGAAGATCAATGAAAATGCACCAAATATAGCTTCCTGATTTTGATGATTCTGCAGCTTCCCTACGAATATGCTTCTGTAGACATAAAGAGGTGAAGTACTCAAGTCTCCATATACAACCCCAAGGCTTTGGTATGCTAGTATTAGGTTCCTCGAGAGATATGCCCAGGAAAACTGCAAACCGACATAAGTACAACTTTAAAGTACAAAATAACTCAGGTATAGTTCGAAGAAGAAGAAAAATGGTTAGAGAGAGGTTGTGCATGCTACAGTTAACATGGAATCAAAGTTTTCCATGCCAGATAAAATATAGAAAGAAAATATGTCTAATTGGATAAATGTTGAAATCGCCTACTACTGCAAAGGAAAAAAAAAGATAAAATGACAAACAACACAAAGATCCTAAGCAAAGAAATGATAAACACATATAAGACATACCATCTCAATACCATATTAGCATGATTTGTGATGTAGTAGCATGTGAGAGGCTTATCAAGGATTAAACCAGCCCACTACACTTAGGCTGGGCTCTAGTTATCTGTTTTTGTTATGCTGTCCAAAAATTAAGATTGAAGTCATACTTTGGCCTCTCACACACATGCCAGAATCACTATAGTATGTCCTCACCTTGACTCTTACATGTTTTTAGAGCTCTCTTTGTGTCTATTACTGATTATAATATGCTATTCGCTTTGTTTCTAGCTGTTTTTTTTTGGGGGGGTTGAGGGAATCTAGGTTTTTGCTGCATCGAATTGGCTATGCAAATCATTGCAACAAGTCGAGTAGATGAATGGAAACATTTGAGGAAACACAAAAAACATATCCCCATATAGATATTGAAATATGCAGATTTGAGAGTCCCAGTGAGCTGCGGTAATTGAAGAAATCTCCAAGTGTAAAAGGTCCAAAAAAAAGGAGCTGAAATATTGGCCATTATCTGCTTGATAAGAAGTGGTTGTTGTATAAATGATAAGTCCCACCCTCAAGAGTCCTAATTCTTACATAACTAAGCACCAATCATAATTAAACTGAAAATTAGGGTGTTTTCATAGGTAAATAAATTAATTATCCATGAGTAAGTGAGTGGATGACAAAGAATCAACCCAGACCCAGAGGGAAGACAGATGTTGAGAAGCGAATGAAATAAAACAAAGAGTAGGAAAGATTGAAAAATGTAGAGCTTGCAAGTTGCAATCAATCAAGCAAAATATGCGAGTGTTAATATTTGTAATAGGAAGAAGAAAAAACCCTAACCTGAGTAGGATTCCGAGGAGGGGAAATACCAGACTCAGGCTCCATGGAAATCGGCGTTGCAACAACGAAAACACAAACTCTGGGCTTGATTTTGATAGAAGCAGTAGTATTATATTACAACAATCTATGTCTCCGTACAGGCGTAGAAATTCCTCCTTTCCCCAAATTCAATGATCGCATCGAGAGGCGGATGGCCACTTGCCAACAGCTCTAATAGCCATCTTTCTCTATCTCTATCTCTATTATCCTTATTACTCCTCCTAATAACTTCACAGAAAAAGTTAGAGTTATTATTATTAGATTAGATTAGATGTTGTCACATATGATATGATGAGGCCTATAACTATAACTATAACAAAGAAATAATAATATCTATTAAATGAATTTGACGATCAAATTAATTTTTATCTAAATAAAAATATTATCAAATTGATGGAGGGAGTTAAATATAATTATCTTCTTACCCCCAATTGAACCACCGTCGGGCCATACGGACATGTTTTTTTATTCCAACAATAATAATAGAAGGCAGTATAAATAACTAACGGAAGGGAAATAATATTCATCCCATCAAAATCAAGGCCTGCGATATGAGGTAACTGTAACTGTAACTGTGTTTTTAAATATATTTTACCTCCTCCTCCTCGTGGTTTGTCCTTAGAGCACATCACCCCTTCTCGTTAAAAATATGCAAATAACCCCCTTTTATTTTAAGATCACCGTTAACACCTAACACCGTTAACAGAGATAGGAAAAAGACATTCCTATCCCTCGGTGTCTTCCACCCTATCTTCCTATTCTCTTCCATTAAATAAGGAAGTGAACTTGTGCAGGAACACGTGCTGGATGGCCTGTCAGGTGGTAGGCAAGAAGGGAAGAAGAAGATGCTTTGAGCGATAATTTTGTCTTTTTAATGGTCGAAGGGCATAATTATATTTTTATTAAAGTTTGAGTATTCACTCTAGGATTTTTTCCATACCCACCCTTATTTTAGGCAATTATAACACAATTTCTGTTAATGTGAACAAAAATAATAACGGCAGCAGATTGGTTCAAAAGGTTATCTGCTTATTTTTATACGATAACAAGTAAAATAAAGTTTACTCTTTTAAATTTGAGCCAAGCATATCATCTCACTCACAAGTCACAATGCCCAATGTGCCCATCATCATTATACCTATTCTCAATGGATGGTTGACCATCCAAACAAGCAAATATTTTCCAACTCTTGCCGTATTTTTTTTATTTTTAACTACTCATTTTAAATATTATTTTTTATTTTTTTATATTATTTTTTTTTTTAAAAACGTAACGAAAGAAAGGACGAAAGAAATGAAAAGATGAGATAAAAAATATTATAAAATTTTTTTACATATCACTATAGTGATACTCTATATTTAGAAAGTATCACCGTAACAAAATATTATTTTAGATATTTTGAACATAATTTGTTGGCCTTCAATTGTCATTCTCTCCTCTTGTAAAGCGTACGTATAGCGTTTAAAAGTAACTCCAACCCAGTTCTTAAAATAGTTAGTCAAAATATATTTAAATGTTATATTCTCTACTTTAATAAGTCACTTTTACAAATTCTCTCTAACCACACTCTTTATTTTAGCTAATCATCTCAATTAACTTTAACTAATTTTCAATAATATAATTCAAAAATGTCACATAACTTAACACGTCATCGTCATACTAATAACATGGCACAATGACGTGTGATGACACGTCATCAAAATTTTGAATTTTGGATGTTACAACGATCATATTGATAACAATCATATTTTTTCAACAGCCACAACTAAAGTGTATCATTAATAAGTATATATCATCGTCTCTATAATCGATCAATGTATCACAAAAATCAATGGAGGTTTCAACACACTATATAGTTAATAAAAATACCGAAAAAAGCCAAAAATGATTGTAACATATTATGAAATGTAATACGATCGAAACCCTTGATCAATATCATCAATCAAACCATCAGGTAATGAAAAAAATAAAATACCTCAAAAAATTGATGAAACATTAAAAGCCCTCATATCATTGCTTTGGCAGCTTGAGGAAAATACCTCAAAAAAATTGTGGGTTTGAACAATTGTTTCATTCTTCATATGCCACCAATCAAGCGAAATGGGAATAAAAAACCCAAATTAATGGAGTAACGGAGGAAGAATTGGTATCACCTTGGATGAATTGGACGCCATACTTGGGTGAAGACGAGCCAAAATCTATCGGCTCAGGTTTCTTCAACTCAAGCACAAAGAGAGCTCCATGCCTGAAGACGATTCCTCTGATGAAGATGATGAAGCCACAGTTGAAGAAAATAAATATTACTTTTGGCGCAAAAAAGCAAATATTGAGCCAAAATCTGCTCTCCATTTCTAGCGAATGAAAATGGATTTGCTAAACTAAGTAGTGAGATAGAGAATGGGCCGGAAAAAAATTTTAGGGATTGACTCTCCAAAATAGCTAAGATTGAAATTTTAGCTAGTGCTTGGAGTTGCTCTAATAGTCACAAGCATATTAGTATCTCCTAGAAAAAAAAAAGTGATACAACTGGGATATGCATGTATCACATGCCATTTAAAAATAGGGTACATTAGAAATTTATCTAAACTTAGGATTAGTTGTATTTCACCCTTTCAATAATTACAAGTTTTACTAAATCCCTTTTAAATTGTGAATAAACTACAAATTTATACTACTTTAAAATATCAATATATATGAAAAAATATTTTTTTTTCCAATTTTATCCTCTAACATGACAATTATGTCATCTATGTCCTCTCCACTTAATTGCTTCCTATTAATCTGTCTAGCCGTTAACGTCTCCCTCTATTTTGTCCCTTTCCACTCTCTCTCTCTCACTATTTCCTCTCTCAAATTCACAGACCTAAGCGTTATAGTCTCTTCTCTCCCTATTTCCTCTCTCAAATTCACAGTCCCAAGCGTTATAGTCTCTTCCTCTCTCCGACTCTCTCCTTCTCTCTCTCTCTCCCTCTTGCAAATTCACAGCCCTTCTCTTCATCTTCCCCTCTCCGTCTCTCTATCTGTTTTCTCCCGTGTTTTCACAGAGAATAGCACACTGCCCCCTCTACCATCCCCCTCTTAGTCTTTCTCTCTCACACTGTCATGGAACTAAGGGTCTGTTTTCTCCCGTGTTTCACAGAGAATACCTTAAAAATCTATTTGTAGCAGGGTCTTTTTCGTCTACAATAAAAAGGAACTGAGTAATTAAGTATGAAACTAAGGGATTGCTTTGATTGTACCTAATCTACTTACGTTATAATTGTTGCTTATAATGTATTATTTGCTATCACACGTTAAGAGATTATAAGTGAGTTAAAATACACTGCATTTCTTGTCTACAAGTATTTCTAAACAAATCAATTAGTTAGACATTAGTTGTGAATTACTTATGTTCACTTTGTGATATGTGCACCGTCCTGGAATTCTGCAGCTATAAGTCTTTAGTCAAATCAAAGGAAGTTTTTAAAGTAAGAGATCGGTGTGGTCTCGACTGAACTACTTTCATTGCCTGAATCAGTTAAACAGGCAGAAAGGTGATTATAAAAAACCACTGTACTTGTGCGTGTGTTTAATGAGAGAGAGAGAGGTTCACTTTTCTCTGGAGTTACTTACCCTTAGCCCTCACTAATGAGGGTTTTTATAGTTAAGGTGGAGTGAGATTTTAGTTTAAGGGGTAATCATTTGGGCTAATTATGCATAATTGAGAATATAAAAATATTTTATTATATACGTTTATTGGTAATATTCATATTTTAGTTTTTTAAATTTTATTAATTTTTTAGATTTTATCTTATTACAATTTTCATATCGTAACATCATGTATCTCATATTCTCATGTGTTATTATCAACACTAGACCAAGGTTCTCAAATCATAACAAAGACTGAACCAATGCAATCAGGTTCAATACATACAAATAGTTTCCCACCAATTTGAATCCTCAATCCCCTGCTCATCACATTTCAGCACTTGGAAAATGATTGAACTGTTGGATTGGACTAGCTCAATAGAGTTAGGCTTGGATTGATTGTGAAATCAGGGTGCTTGTTTCCAATGGAACTTAAAGTGGATTGGTGTTTTTCCAAAATGATTTGACAGATCTTCCTCAATAGAAAACCAAGAAATTTGAAACTAAACAAGACAATGAAGAAGCGATTTATGAAATGATTACTCTTATGGTTGTGCAACTCGTCCAAGCACCTGATTTTCAATCTCTTCCTCAAGAGGTATCTTTTCAGCCTCTTCCTCTATCAGAGCCTTCATCTGAGACTTTAGAAAATATCCTGGAGGAAGTGCATGCCTGTAATGGCAGTCTTTACCCCCATTCGTTCAAAATATAATTTGCAATTGCCTCTTGCTTTAGTTTTTGTTTTGGTGTCTTTCCTTACCTGGCAAGTTTGTCTCATTCATGAGTTGTCTTAATATTGTTCTATCACTTTGGCAGGTCAGTACATTTTTGTGATCCCCAGCAACATTACGACCATACCTACTTTCTAACGTTGATTACTGGATGCATTACTCTTCAATTCTTTCTGTGAGGCACAACACATTTTCTTTGATGCATAGTTGATTTCCATGTGTTCAGCCTCTGATTCTATACATAGTCTCATCTCAATTTGTGTTGCTTACGATCCAGTTGGAGTCATAGTAAAGTTCATCGTGAGTCTAACATCATTCAATCCAACACTTTGCAGTGCTGCACAAGCATCAATTTTAGTCCTTACTTGGGTGTACTATCACAATAGATATGCTTTTGAAGATCATAGATTCTCTAGCTTTTAGGTTTTGGGGAACATTCAAGATGTGGTCCATTCCTATAATGGACAAATAGTTTTATACTTTCAAAATCGAAGCAGACCTTCCTTGTGCTAATTATTTTTATAGTGGTATCTTTTGGGAATGCCCTCTGATGATGCACAAAATCGATTTGCACACCACCCGTCAATTAAACAATATAAAATGCAGTAAGTAGAGGAGAGAGAAAACAAGGTTTATAGTGGTTCGGTCAATGAGACCTACGTCCACTTTCAATGACTAGGTTGGCCGGGAATTTTATTGACTCCGATGCGTTGGGAGAGCAAGAATTACAAGAGAGAGGAAGATGAGCTTGGTTTTGTTGAGATGCCCCCCAAGTGTTGGGGGAGCTTACAATTTATAGAAGCCTGCGTAGTAATTGAATAGCTTGACGGTTATAACGGACCGGAGGCAACTTAATAGCTGATGACCTCTCCTCTTCTTGGCGACCTCTCCTCTCTCTGGCGACCTCTCCTCTTCCTCAATGGGCAAGTGTATAGCTCCTGGATGCTCCCGTAGCTCCCTGATGGGCTTGACCGTCTTGGACCTCATAGGGCTTGCTTAGTCTTCTATAAGCTTGGGCTTTTTCACATGGATTGGGCCATTTGGGCTTGACCCATCACCCTCTTTGTGTGATTTTTCAAATTAGGGACACTAATCAAATGAACTTTTTCCTCCCTACTTTGACTCTTTGATCGGCTTGCCCTCACAAACGTCTTTGTTGAGAGAAGAAGCCAAGGGGCTATGTGAATCTCAAAAGTCGAACAATCAATAAAGCATAGAAAAAGTGGGCTCTATAATTAGCTCCAATTGAACAGGGAGGGATATATTTTTCATTTATTTGATGATTAGAATTGGGCGTGTTGGTTTAACCATTCCATCTTTATAGCATGTTATTTTGTTCTGTTGATTTTTTGAAGAGACGTGATTGTTATGTACTTTCTTCTTCTCTTTCTTACATATTTGGAGATCATACATTGTCTCTATTCTTCTTAATTCTATGTTTTTTGGGGGCTGTATGTTGCTACAGATGTCGTACTCCAAAAGGTCAAGGTATTCTCGCTCTCCTTCCCCATACAGACGCTGCAGTTCACCTGTCTCAAGGTCTATGTAAAGGTCCAACTCGATTTCAAGGAGCTGGTCAAGGTGCGGTTTACTGCTTCCCCATCCTTCATCTTTCCTTCTTTTTTTATTTTGGATATTTCCCTTTTCTTTTTTATCTTGTACCCCTTTTTTCATCCACTAATTTTTTGGATATTGGTCATATCAGTAATGATTTTCTTGTCTTCGAATGTTTGACAGGTGTCATGATTCAAGTGTTGAGAATCCTGGAAATAATTTGTATGTCATGGGGTTATCAACTCGGATCACGAAGAGAGACTTTGAGAAGCATTTCTCAACTGTTGGAAAGGTATGCATCTTTGTATGTGGGAAGCTTAATTTTTTAGTTGTGAAGGCTTCATACATGGCTTATTTTGATCACTTTACCTAAAGTGGTTCCAGATGTCTTTGGGCAGAAGGGACTTGTCAATTTTGAAATCAATTTGCTGGATAATTTTGTAGTATTTTCGAAGTCCAACACTGAAAGCCTTTCTCAAAGCATTTCGAAGTATTTTCGCTCCATTTCTCAAAGCCTTTCACCAAGGTCGCACAGGAATTCAAGGCGGAGGAGTTACTCACGCAATGTCTCATTAGAGCGTTCCAGGAGGAGTTACGCACGCAGGATCTCCCCAAGGTAATCAAGGAGAAGTTACTCTCTAAGTGTTTCCCCATGGACAAGGAGGGCTCGAGGAGGGGCTATTCTCGTAGCATTTCTCCTAGACTAAGGAGAAGCTCCGGGAGGAGCATCTCTTGTGGCTCTGCTTATACTCTGGGTATAGCTATTGTTCTAGAAGCTATTATAGCAGAGAGGTTGCTGAGATAGCAAGTTCTGTGGGTCAAGTGGCAAGATATATTTGTCTGATTTCCTTTTGCAATTTGGTGGCTTTAATATACTGGTTCCAATATGAGGTTCTTGGTCAGTAGATCGCTCTCCTTAAGCATGGAAATAGACCTACTTTTGATTGAACTCTTTATCCAAAGAACATCTTTGCCCTTTTTAATTATGTAATTTGTTTATTCGAGGCAATTTTTTCTACTTTGGACGTGGACATACATGGCCGAACGTTTGGCTTCACTCGGGCAAATCTCCTTTGGCAATATAAGTTTACTTTCTGTAGTGGAACTCTTGGTCCAAAGAAAAGAAAAGATTATGATCAAGTGTATGCATTTACAATGTTTTTTTTTGCTCATTAAGTGCATGGAACTTTGCTGTCTTGTGCTTGTTTAATGGGATTTTGACAAATTTCCCCCTACAATTGAAATGCCAATTCCTCCCATCTACAAAATACAATTATATTTATGAAAAAAAAAATTATTTGTTGTATTAAAACAAGTTTACAGAAATATCTAATATGCAACACTCAAAATAATTCTCGTGCAATGCTCGTGTGCATTAACTAGTGTTGATAAAAGTATTATTTTATACAAAAGACTAAACTTTCATTAATTATAATTTAATTTTCTTTGTGATGTCATTTTATCTTTAAAAAATAAAACCAACACACTTCTACCCCTGACACCACCACACTCGCACACCATCACCATAGCTCACCTTCAACTCTGTTAGTACTACACCCCACAAATTTCTTCTTTACAACTGCAACCAACCACTAGCTCGTTACCACAAATTCCCTCGCTACCACCATAGCCCACCCACATATTCCTTCTCCACCTCTACAGTCTCATCCCCAAAAATTCCTCCAAAGATTCTTTCCCCCCCCCCCCCCCCCCCCAAAAAAAAAAAAAAAAAACTAATTGATCGACAACTACAAACTTCTTTGTTACCAGATTTGATCACATGAACAAATCACCATTAGCACCCTTGTTGTCGAACTCAATCTCACCCACCACCATAACCTACCTCACAAAAAACTCCTCCTCCACCAGCATCACTGAACAAGCAATCAAAACCCTTCCAACCCGAATAACAGAGACAACAGTGTGTGTGTGTGTGAGAGAGAGGTGTTGGACCGTTGCAATTGGAGTAACAACAATTGGCGTGCCCCTCCACCACAACCCCACCTAGTATTGAGTTCCCCTCCACCAACACCTCCACCACGCAATTAAAGAACAATATTTACCTCTCCCAAATTATAGACTTCGATATGGTAATTTATTAAAAATACTCATCTACCGTATTTTTTAATTTATTTACCGATCTATTTTAATTTTGAGAGTGGAATCGTGTTGAAAACGGAATCAACAATTTCACTTTTAAAAAGTGCAATAGATCGATAAATAAATTAAAAAGTACGATAATTCAGTATTTTTCTTGAAAATGACAGTATTTTGTAATAGATTTCATCTGTGTGTGTGTGTATCTGCTTCGTATATAGGATCACCACCACAATCACTGTAATAATTTTCACTTAATGGCAGCACAAGTATTGTCCCACATGTAAACTAATTATTGCTTTTTTCATATCAAACGTGTTAAATTTTTCTAAAAGACTTGCTTAAATTAAAGCGTATAAAATCATATATAAACACTAACTTCATCTCAAACTTTTGAAATGAATGATGTAGATCTATCGACATGAAGGCAATACATAAACAGATTAGTCCAATATAACTATATAAGTTGGAAGGAGACAAAAATGGTGGAAAAAGAAATAATTCAACCAGCCAGTAGCACTCACGTCTTGTCTTGACTGTAAGCAAAATCCGCCAAGAGAAAAATGTGAAATTATATATGGGAAGTTGGAGAGCAAACAGTGAATTCCTCTTACTACTCACCTCACCGGATTCATTAATCTTATAAACAAACACCTTCTCAATCTCAAACCCACACCCAACAACACACAAGTCCAACCTAAGCAACGGTTTCAATCCAAAACCAACTGAGAGAGAAAGGCCTCAACACTGCAACACACTAGTATATATTTATCGGACTTATATTCATATATTAATCATACTCATACCCATATCTAATATGGTATGGTTAGTAAAAATGCGGCGAGGAGGAGGAGGAGCCCAAGTCCAATGTTTCGAAACCATCTATAGCATCCGACGCCGGTGGCATCTGACCGAACAGCGGGCTGTGCACGTACTTGCTCCAATCGAATCCCGGGTAGGATCCTCCGCTCACCGTTGTCGAATCATAACCGGTTATCATAGTGCTCTGCTCCGAAAACCCAACAAGGCCTCCTTCAGCTGGAAGATCGTCCCAAACGCCCTGGGCCAGGCCCAGGCCCACATTATCATAGCCCGTGGAAATCTCCATCAAGTTCGGGCCCACACAACCCGAGAAGTCGGAAGGCAAAGGAGGGAGCTCCGACCCGTTAAACAGTTGGTGGGACTGCGAGGAAGCCACAGAGCCATTGGCACCGCCACCGCCACCACCACCACCATTGTCAAACACGGGTTGTTGATGGAAACTCGACGAAGCCCACAGCTCCCCACCAGCAGAAGGCATTATTAATGAAGAGAACCCATGACATTCGGTGTGGGAATTCTGGCCCACCAAGAGGTGGGACGAAGGGTCGGGTTGGGTGGTGGGAAATGGGGCTAAAAGAGAAGAAAAGTCATGGTGGTGGTGGTTGTTGGGTTCGTCTGGGGAGATGATGGATGTTACAGAAGAGCCAGGAGGACTGTCAGAGTAGACGAAGTTGGTGCGAGCTCGGGAGCCTCGCATGGAGCGAGAGGCTCTGTCGTAAGCGAGAGCAGCCTCCTCAGCAGTATCGAAGGTACCAAGCCAATGTCTTTCTTTGGTGGAAGGGTCTCTTATCTCTGCTGCATATCTTCCCCACGGTCTCCTGCGAACTCCCAGAAACCTTTCTCCTGTTTCATGCTGTGTCTGCTTCTTCTTCGTGCTCTTTGACGATGACATAGATGTATTGGTTCTATTTCTTGACCAAAGTTGTTGATCAACAGCTTAGGATTTAGCCTTAGTGGGAGTGAAAGACAAGTACTCTATTTGAAACTCAAAGAAGAGAAGAGTGGTATATTTATATATGTATACATTTTACAAAGACTGTCTCAGCAATTCGATTTTTATATATAGAAGAAACCACTGTCTTTTTCTCTTCGAAGTTGTGTGGAAACTGGACGTAGGTTGCATGTGACGAGTTTAATTACAAGAGGGAATGCTTTTGGGAATGAAATTTGAGGAGTTAATAAATTGTGATGATTGGGTGGTTTACAATTTTTGTGGGTTATTTAGGATCGATTTTAAAATTTTTGGGATCAATCACAAGAAACTTCAAAAATTGTAAGTGATTCCCAAAAATTATAAACCATTCTCAAGTAAACGATGCTCAAAATTTTTAAATGACTTTAAAAGCATGCATAGATAGAGAAGACTGAAAACTGAAAAACATGATATCCTGTAAAAGGTAATAAAGAAAAAGAAAAAGAAAATCCAAGGGAGATGATCAGTTTTAAATGATGGAAGAAACGTTAATAAGTGGGATGGCATGATTGGAAAGGGCGAGCTCAATGCCCATGATGGTGAATTGATGATTATAATCATAAGAATGCATGTTCCCTTTGTTGCATTGTTGTATGATTATTCTCAATCAGAGTTTAGTTTATTCAGTTTAAAACTAGTTTAGTTCCTTTACCGTTGAATTTCTAGCATATGCACGTAGTCCGTTGCTCCTTTCATGTGGTCCTATATATATATATATATAAATTATCAAGGATACATATGCATGAATGAGGAACTAATCATGGACTCTCTATATATATGCACAGTCCCATTATATATGATCATCAGTATTCAGTACTGCAGGTGGGAGGAAGTTGGAGAGGCTCAAAGTTAGACCTTTTCAATCGCAAGGCATCATTTATATATGATTACATCAAACAAGACTTAATTGGGAAAGGTTAGATGGCCCACAGGATGGAACAGTACACTTCCATTATTGACGTTTATCCGATTTAACCGCACTAGCTAGTGTGATTTTTATGTGCTCAATGTTTCTGATGGACAGGTTTAGAAACTAGTAAAAATTCTGTGAAGATTGTTTCTTGCACCTTAAATAATCTTTTGTTCCCCTTAATTATTTCCAGCAAGGTGGCATGATCTGTAACGTTTTGAGATAATTCATGAAGGCAATTTGGGACCATACACCATCGTGTACTAGTACTTAATTTTTTGCTCTGGAAGAAAAAAACCAATCTTGATCTAATGGGTTGTAAAAAAACATTACCAAATTTTGGTATTACTATCGAATTTTCTAACTTAAAAAACTACTCGGACATTGTCTAAAACGATTTTGATATCATTTTTTAAGAAAACAAAAGGAGATCTAGTTTAGTTTGCAGAAACATATCAAGATTATCATGGATTTATTCTGAAATTTTGGATGTTTTCTTGTGTCATAAAGATTAAAACAAGATAACGAAAGGCATCATTAGAAAGCAATTCCCCTAGACAATCCCACTTGTCCTGGATCAATATTGTACAACAACTAACTACAAACTTGTTTTTTTTCAATCATAATAAAGCTGATATGTTAGTCTGTATGCGCCCACTCTATTGAGTCAGAGGATGTGTATGCGCGGTCTCTTATCCATTTATTCTGATGTTCCAAATCTAAAGCCTCAAAAGAGGCTGACAAGACGATGGTAGATTTCCCAGGAAAATAAGTTGTAAAAATAGCTGAGAAATCTTCTGAATTTGCGGGGATCCTCACCAAATTAATAAATTAGTTGATAGTGTCATGGTGTGTTTTTTTTCTTCTTTTTGGTTGGGGGGTGGGATGGTTGAAAGGAGGCGATTATTCAAAGGGATTTTATGATAATGGATCATGTTACCAAATGCTTTTGAGACTGGGTGCTCGGCGCTCTCAGAGAAGATGGATGTTTTGTTAGTTGCTCAGTCACCCATGTGCATCCAATTCATAAATTCTACCAAAAAAAAAACAACGACCAGTCCAACACTAGATGACGAGTCTTCTCTTCTTTTTGAACCGCAAAACTTTCTTATTTTTATGTTTTTCATTCTTATATACATATATATATATATTTGGAAACTGTAGAGTAGGATTCCATTTTGGCACTACAGTGGTGAGGGAGTGGACTGGTGATCCAGTAATGTTGTTTTTGGGATCTATAAATTTGACCTAATACTTTTTATGTATCAAGTTACTTTTACAAAAAGTTTGAAATTGCAATTACAATAATGCGCTATTGCTTTAAATTAGTTGTGGCATAATTAAATCTCACGTCAGATTGTTAAGTAACCTTGGTAAGATAAAACAAGTAGTAGTGTGATCCACATATGAAGAGGGAGGCTTGGGTGGGAGTGGGAATGCAAGAGAAAGAAAGGTGTTGCAGCAACCATGAATCCCAGCTTACAGTAACAGTAGTCAGTAGTCAGTAGAATGAATGCATATAATCTTTTTAGTTTTCACTTTGCATTCGAAATATAGGAAGGGAAGGCTGTGCCAGTACGTGTAAGTTAGTAATCTGAGTTGATTAGAATATTTGATTGATAAACCCAAGGCCTGCAAGGCAGAATAACAGGAGGTCAAAATCCTACCTCCCTACAAAGACTTTTGTGGGAGAGGCAGACAGACATATTTACATAACCTTTTATTTATGTTAATGGATAAGTGAAAGTTCCATTGGGATTTGGATTAAGGTGATGGTGGTAGCTAGCCTCTGTTGCTGATTATTGAAAATTAGAAAAAAGGTTTTTGTCTTTATCGATATTGGCCAATTTGGGTGTGTAAGTGTTTGTCCGAATGCATCCTAGTCAATGATTCTCAGGACGGTTCGTTCGCATTCGCATATGCAAGCAACTATGTTATGTCAGAATTTTTATTACTAGTCTCGGTGCGCGGGTGGAGGAGGATATACAAACATAGTTGGTTATTGGCAGTGGAGGAGCTGGGGGTGGGGGTGGGGGTGGTGTATATTACACACAAACTCAGACTCAGAGAGAGATTTCACAAAACAAATAGGGTAGGGTAGGGTAGGGTTGGGTTAGGGCACTAATTGTTTCAACAATTTTGTTTGCACATAAATTTAGCATGCCATCTGTGAGGAGTTTGTGCATCAAGTTGTGGGCAGCATGTTATGGTTTGACTCGCCTTTTCTTTTTGACCAATTTATAATCCTTTTCAGGTTGACTAAATTATTGCTACTTTTTTTTTTGGGTTAGATTATTGGTAAGCAGTGAGCAAATTAGAGAGGAAGGGGAAAAAAAAGTGTGAGATTTTTTTTTTTTTTTTTGGGGGGGGGGGGGGGGGAGGAGAGTGGGTGTTCATATAGGCATATGGTAAGGAAAATTGAGCATTTTATGTGTGCATTCCATCCACAATACCATCTTTATGACTGTATATTACATTCATCTCTCTACTCTTCCTTTACATGATTAGTTTACTTTTCATGTCAATATGTAGATAAATGTGTTAATTGAGTTGATTCGTTGAGTTTTAGTATATTCAAACTTAGTCTATCTGTGATTGTTAATCTTTTTTCAAGTAAGATTCAGCATAAATTTACAAGTATTTGAATCAAACTCGAACTGCAATTGAACTCAATTATTCTATAAACATTTTCAAAAATTAAACCCTAACGCACGCACACATCCAAAAGACTGTCCCAGCGAACATAAACCAAAATACAGAAATGAAAACATAAGTGAAGCAAGTTATAGAAGAAGAAACGGCATAAACCAGTCAAGTCTTTCACATTTGTTTTTGTTCCTCTCTAGCTTGGGACGAGTTGCAGAGAAGAGCAAAACCATTAGTAAAGTACAAGAGCCTATGGCTTCCAGAATATATGAATGGACAGAACAGGATAGCAGTTGCAACTTGCAACTGTCAAAATAGTATGCCGGGAAGCATAATCCCAAACGACTGACTCATAGGACTAACATTGTGGAGTTGGGCACCCGAAGAGTTCACATAACAGCTAGTTGACATTATTTGACAATCTGAATCTGGAACAGGATGCGGCTCCATTGCCTCTTCCCTCATCTCATGTTTCCCATCTTCAGCCATGGCCATTATTCTAAGAAACTCCTCCAGTGCTCTACGCATCCACTCATAGCGACAGAGTTTGAATGCCTCTTTTATGACTAGCTGAAAGAGGGAGGGAGGAGGGGGGGGGGGGGGCAACAAATAATTCATGATAAAAACAACTTCAAAGTTTCCTTGATTAGCAATTGAGTTACTTCTATAATCATATCCAAATTAATTTCACTAACCCATTTTCTATCACGGTCCCCCTGCTCTGGCCAAACATCAAGCTCTTCAGTAACCTCCAACGCAAACATGTATCCCCTACAGCCTCCTTCCAGACTACACATGTCTTGCTTGCTCTTGCTTCTGAACTCCCACATCCCAAGCGGATTTTCCTACATAAAAGCAAACAGTTATTTGAAGCAGTCAAAAAGGTAAAAGGATGGACAACCCAAGTTTGAATCTCTATTGCCATCGTTGCACTTAACAAGTCATAATAGTATCTTTTTCTTTTTGGTCCAGAATAACACTTCAGTACCATCATAAAAATAGATCAGCCTTTTATAAAGAAAAAAAATGAGACCAAATTCAAAAATTATATGAGTTCAGGATAGCATCACAGTAGCAACATGTGGACCTATTCTAGCAGTTGACAGAACGTATTAACATATATTACTCTTATTACAATCTCAAAACATCATCTCATTCTCAGCAGGTAAAAGGATGCAGATGATTCCTCAGCCAGTCTAGCATGTCAACTAAACCATGTCATATACATTTTTCAATTAAAATCTAAGAGAAGTGTCAAGAAATTGAATAACTTGAAGTAACCAGAACAACAGACATTCCCGCCTCCAAGCAAACAACTCCATGGCAATTAGATGTCCTGCATCATTCTTTGATAATTTTCCTAGGTGAAGATCTATCTTAGATTACAAAAATCTCTGCATTGCATTGTTTTTAAGCATAAGTCAAGTGTATTACAACTTAAAAAGCAAATGTGCATTGATTCTGTTGAAAATTCAAGGAACCATCTTTTTAATTGGTGAGACTGTCTGATGTTAATAATAATGGGGAAAAGAAATGATGCAAGAGTTTTTTTTTGCAAAGCGGCCCCAGATATCAAATAAACTAATCAATTCTTTCTATTGAACTAATGCAAGCATAAGAGTAAGACCAACTAATTTCCAAGCAGGAAGAGGAAACAGAAGCTACTTTAAGAATTCCTCTCACTCCTGCTTCCTCTAATGCTTCACGACATGCAGCTTCTTCAACAGTCTCATCATCCTCCCATCCACCCTGACAAAAAATAAAGTAAAATAGAATTAAAGATTTACACTAGCATGGAATGAGTAATTCCACAGTAAAATTAAGATGATAAACGCAGGGAAAATCTCTACCTTTGGAAACACAAGATCATCGCGCTTTGGAGAAGATATCATTAGAACTTCTATTCTGTATTCTAAACCACTGCTCCAATTTTCATTATATTTTGCCAGCCGGTAAGGAATACACCTGCCGTATGAACTGTATAAGTAAGCAGTAATACTCAAACCAAATAATCACATGGCCGGACATGTTTATCCGGAATGTCCGATCACAATGAGAATGACTGAAAGAAATAAGGTACGTTTTCAAGATTTAATATACAATATCAAGATTTTTATCTGAATGACCATTTACCCCGTGGCAGTCCAATCAAGTTGAAGTGTATGAAGAACTAAACTAGGTATCAGCCTAACAGAAAGTGTTTTCAGACCCACATCCTCTTTCTCAAGTTTGTCACTTGTCAGCCCAATCTTTTATAATTGCATCAAGTGATTAAAAGAATCTAGTAATACTGTAACGGCTAACAAATAATTTGCTGCTCTTAGTACCTTGAAGTAAGCGCTAAGCTTTGGAGAGATTCTACAGTAGCCCTTAATAAAAATCATTGAACAACATTGGCTTAATAATAAGCAGGGGACTTGGACGTTTCATGAAAATGTAAATGATGTCATTATGTTTTCAATTGCATTTATCACATCACGTGTGAAGGAAAATTAAATGCTGCACAATTTTAGCATTCCATCTACGAATTTCACCAGAACATAAATGGACTATGACGTGGTCAGAAACACCTTAGGCGAATTGTTTCATGCGGATATCCTGGAATAATTTTAGAATACCTGAGATTTCTGCTATCAGAAAACGACTACACTCCCGAAAGATTTTTTAGTTTGAATTTGACCATTTTCTTGAAAGACAACTGTCAAGGACATACATAGCTGGTCAATCACCAAGAAAGCTAGGCAACCGCTTAGAAAAAGTGGGCCATCATCCATGGTAATGCTCATATAGTGTAGACAGATTACTGCACTTCCCTATCCCTAATGTTAATATGATTGCTCTTTTATCGCTGTGTATTGTTTAAAGTTGAAAGTCAAAACATGGTCTTAACATGATCAGTTTCAAAGTATATTTTTGATGTGATAAATTTCATTTCAACTACTAAAGTTATGAAAGGCAGCTCCTCTAAAAGCTGGTATGCATATTATTGCAGTTTTTTAAGGTCGCCATTCGAAAGCTGCTTATCAATAATTTTATAGCTCCAAAAGCACAAACAATTATTTTGAAATGACATTCTAGGCTATACTATTTATAGGCTTGTATTGTGTTTTGAAAGGGTCTTGTTTAAAATTTTTTGCCCAAGGCCCTGACTTCTAACGAGTCAGTAGTGGTCAAGTCAAAAACCTTCAAACTAAAATTTGTGTCACATAGTGAAAAGCTTCCTATTTCGTTTGATCCAAATAATAATTCCAGATTTGAATGCAGCAAACTCTAAGACTTTGTTTATTGACTAGTCCTTCCATACTTCATAAGGAAATAATTTTTTTTCCTTGGCTTTCCAGCATTTTTACTGTCTCAATTAGCGCAAAGGCCAAGGTTGATGGATTTTCTCCAAAATCTATAAATCTTGACTACATTTTCTGCCATTATAGATTTATTTTTGGGATAAAAAGGAGGTGGCAAAATAGTGTACATAAGCGTGATGTTTAATCTGTCTAAAAAGAGAAAGTACAATAAAATGCAACAATTCATCTAAATCTACCTGTTCATAAAATGGTCAAATTGTGGGGGGGAAAGTCCTTCCCATTTGCTAAGTCATCAAAATTCTATATGATTGAATTAAAAAAATAAAAATAGTTTCACCAATCAAATTCCCCCAAAATTAGGTATGTTGCTTATTTGATTATCTTAAAGAAATGAGTTTCTTTCTATTTATGATTTATTAAGGTCAACATGATTAATCTGTTGCTGATGAGAGCAGCAATAATTTAATGCACAACTTCCACACAGCGGACAAAAGTAGATCATCATGCCAAAAATCCTTACACACACGCACAAAAGATACGCATTACCCCTTAATAAATGGTTGGGTAAATTACACTCGCACTCCCTGACATTTGACTAAATGACATAGAAACCCCCTAACATTTCTAAAATGACATGGCGATCCCTTATCAGCGTCAATAGGTGACCGACATTAACAGAAGTAATAAAACGACCTTTTTAACCCCTTAGTTTAATTTAAAATAAATACATAATAAATAAAATATATTACCAAAAATTTAAATTAAAGAGTCAAAAAAAAAAAATCTATCTCTGTTCTCTCACGTCTCACTCATCCCTTACCCCAGCCAACGACCACCACCACTCCTCCTCCTCCTCTCTCTCTCTCTCTCTCTCTCTTTGTGAAAACCTGCAACTCCTTTTTCTCTCTCTCTTTCTCATAGATCCCCCGGGGCCCTGCCCCCTCTCCACAACACGCCGCCACACTCAGCCCTCTTAGCCCAACTGCCGCCACCACTCTCAACCTCCTTCTCTCTCTCTTAGGCCCCTGCCCCCTCCCCACAACAAACCCCAGATCTGGGGACTATTACCTCTCTCCCTATCTCTAGATCCGTAAAACCCACATGAAATGGGTGACTCGCCAAACCCTCGAATCAATTTCATCAAATCGAAGCACAAATTTTCACTGCCATTAACGGTGTTGGTGCACAATTGAATTTTTGTGATTTATCTCACAGATCGAATTTATGGTTGATTTTTGTGGTTAACTTTTTAGAATTTTTCGTGGTTCAAATTTTGGTGGTAAATTTTGGATGATGGAAGCTGTGGTGTTGATGGTTGGTTTTTTGTGGTGGAGTTGTTGGGTTTTCGACGGTGGTATTGATTGCGTCGACGGTAGCTTTTCGGATGGTGGAGGCTATTTTGTCATTCACAATCACCATTTCCTCTCTCTCTCTCTCTAGAAGGTGATGGTTGAAGAGGTTGATGAGTGGTAGCGATTCTAAAAGCCCACGGTAGTGGGTGATGTTGCCAGATGATCGACTTAATTCATGGTGTCTTAATTTATAAATAAAATTACTTTAGTTAATGGTGTCTTAATTGGGGAAAAAATTAGCTAATTAATTGCTTAATTAGTAGTGTCATAATCTGGAAATAATAGATTATATTTGATTTCAATATGTGTTAAAGTAAGCTTAGTTAATAGAAATCTATTATATTGAGTAACTTAATTATTTTTTAAATCATAATTATTACGAGAATTGGTGAATTTGGATTATGAGGTTAAATATTTTTGGATAGGTAGCTATTAGTACAATTAGGAAATTAAAATTTAAGTGTTGAAATAAATGAGGGATAAATTTCTAGTGAAAGAAAAACATATATTTAAATTCTCAAACTTAATTTTAGAGGATATTTTTGGTATTTTAAAAATTATTATTGATGACATCAGCTTTGACTGTTAACAATTTTAACGTCTGTTAGTTAGAGTGGATGTATCTGTTACAAGTTATAAATGTCAAGGGAGGTTGGTGTTGTTTTTAAAATGTGAGGGGGTGTCCAAGTAATACAATCAAATGTAAGGGGGTGTGAGTGATATTTACCCTAAATGTTTTCATAAACAAAAGTCAATGATAAGGCTCAGTTTAACATTGCCATTTCAATATAGATTAGAGGAAGCATCTCTCCCCTGTAATCTAATGCCTGCTCCTAAAACCATCAATCAATCAATGCTTCTCCTTCTGCTTTCAACCCAAGAAAATAGAATGCAAACATTGCTAAGTTGGATTCCGAATAAATTTCAAGCATTAATTGTTTCACAAGACAAGGGAATAAAAGGAAAATCAAAAAGAAAAAGTTGAAGATACGAATAAGTAAAGCTAAACGTTCAAGAGTAGGAAAAGAAAAAAAAAAAAAAAGTGGATGCAGAGCGAAGTTAGTTACCCAGAAACAAGTCGAAGATTGTCTTCATAACGTTGCCGGTGTCTACCCGTTCTTGCTATAATAGCTGACATGATAATCTCCACGTCCAAACCAAACCAAACCTTCAAAGGAGGAAAAGAACATCAGTCCACAAGCATCACAGCAAAGCAACGAATTCCCTATTGCCTAATGAACCAACATGGCCTGGGACGGAGAATTTAGTAGAGAGAGAGAGAGATGCAAAAGGACAAAGTAAGAATCGTTCACCTGATATATACAGATATGCAGGCCGGAAGCAGCGGGTTTCATAACCACGAATGATCCCACAAATTTTTGAAGCTGCTACATTCAAAGTGCTAATACAACTCCACTACTAGTCCCCCCCTAAAATCCCCTCAGACAAAATATTTCTAGGTGAAATTCTTTGCACGAATATCAATGCAAAAGGAAAGGAAGAGAAGAAAGGAAGAAAGAAAAATAGGGACCGAAAAGTAACCCAAAAAAAGCCGTGAACCTTTTATTCGCAAAGACAACATGTACAGAGATTTGTTCGCATAAGAGAGAGAGACATTTCAGGGGGACCAGAGCAACGGCACTTATTTATAACGGGCACTTCCGTACGTTGCGGGCCGGTAATTCCCTTTCCCTAACTTTCAGATTTATACTAACACACCCCAAAAAATAATCACAATTATATTTTAATTTAATTTATTGATATAATTTATAATATTATATAAAAAAAAATATCTCCGTATTTAGAATTATTTATACGAGATCTCATAATTTTAATTATTCTATTAAACCTCCCGCAACTTAAAAATAAAGTGATACAAGTAGATGTCTATTACAAAATTTATATAAAATACTAAATACCCTAATTTAGCCGCTTTATTTTCATTTCAATACTGTTCTTCGACCCCAACCTTTTTCTCTCTATACCTTTCCCTTTCTCTATCTATACCTTCACACAAACTTAACCATTGAATATTTACAAAATCACCATTAATCTCCCCACACACCTGCGTCGAATCACCAAAAGAAACAACAAAATATTATTTGATCACACAGAGAAAAAGGGAGGAATTTCAAAATATTAGGTCACAATTCACAAAAGAAAATTTCAAAAGTCTTATTACAATGAAATCGTATGGAAACTTCACCATTGTGGCTGAACAGAGTACCATTGGAGTGGTGGGTGCAAATGTTGTGGAGTACCACGTGTTGTTGTTTTGAGATGGATTGCCATCCATATTCTGGGGTAAAGTTTTGTTTTGGTGGGTTTTGATTGGGGTGTTGGGCAGTGGAGGTTTTGATGTGCTGGGTGGTGACGAGTGTTGGCGGTTGAGGAAAGAGAGAGAGACGATTGAGGGTGGTGGACTTTTCTGTTCACCGGTGATGGGGAGAATCACAGACAGCAAAAGGGGAAGAGAGAGAAGAGAACGTTCGTCTTATTTTGCACAAAAAATTGTAGTTTAGAGAAATTTAATGCAACGGTTTAAAGTAAAGAGAGGTTATCTGTTAAAACCCTTAAGTACAAGAGGTTTTTTTTTCCTACTAAATACGGGGTGAATTTAATAATTATGTTTATAAATTAAATACAATTATAATTACTGCAAAAACAAAACTTATTTATCCAGTCCAGTCCAGTCCAACCCAGTGTATTAATATTTGAAATACTTGTTAATGCTTATTTGTTTTCAGATTCTTGAGCAATAATCTCAACTCATTTCAGATTCAGGATACGCCCTGCCCTGCCCTGCCCTTCACACCACGTGGGAGTTAGTGGGCCTGAATGATTAACCCTATTTATAGATTGTTGATCAAATTGTCAACTTCATCACAGTCAGTCGTTGGCTCAGAATTTAATTTCTTTCTTTTCTTTACTATTTGGTCCTCTTCCTGGAAAATGCAGCAGCATTTGGGTTGGGTTGGGTTGGGCAGGCTTCATTTGTTTGTTTTGTCGGATCGGACTACTACGCCACAAGATCGATATTATTAATAATAATAATAATAATGTATCCCCGCATTGATTCGTTAATCACAGATATTAGCATTCCTCGTCAAGTTACAAGTTGCGGAACAAGGGCAAGGGCAAGGGGGTCAGTGACTCAGTCATACTATAGCTATTAGCTATTAGCTATTAGAAGGTTGCAGAGCTGAGGAGGAGGTCCATCAACCATTTAATGTGATAGTGACATGACATAGACATAGACATACATAAACATGCTTGCCGACATAACATAAATGTTCCATGCTTAACCACATGCACACCTCTCTCCTCTTCTCCCAGTCCCAAACCCCTCTTCACCCATTTATTTTGGTACATTAATATGATATAATTAATCAATAATATTAAAAGAAGGGGATGACAAATAATAATTATGAAATTCATCGAATATTTTTGACTAAAGGCCGGCCGGTGACTAAAGGCCGGCCGGCCCACCGACCTTGCATTTTATGAGAATAAAAATAAATTCTAAGATTATAATATCAGGCATTTGAGCTGTTTTATGTTTTGTTGTTAAGTTATGTAGATATAGACACAGATACATATAGATGTTAGCTTCTGTGTTCCATATAACAAACAAATGTCAAAATTGGTATATATATATATACTTGATTGATTCCAAGTAGTCATTTATATATCAACATTAACAATCGGATTGTGGAGTGGAGAAGAAAGAAGAATGATTCATAATATATGTTGCACATGCATAGAATACAAGTTTCAACTGATTCCCATAAGAGTAATACTAATAACATTTGGATTTAAAAATTTAATTTAATTTGTTGACATAATAATGTATGTTGTATCATAAAAATTATTGGATCAATATTAAATTTTAATGTTTGATGGAGTCTACGCTGAATTCAAATATCACACTAAATTAAGTTAACAAATCATATAAGTAATTTAAGTCTCAATAACATTGGTCTTCTCATATTCTAATTGGACCGCCCAACCTCCTCTTGCCAAATAAATTAATGGCATTCATTGTTCACTTCCAAAGTCTTATCGAATTTTTGCAAACTATTATTCCAAGGGAAAATTTCGTTCATACCCTTATAATTAGATCTAAATTTAATCACACTTCATTTCGATTTTAAAATTTTACTACACTCCGTTCTGGTTTATATTTTCAAATCAATGACACTTTCTTAACAATAATTTTGGTCTCTGTCAGTAGAAAAAATAATGATTTAACTAAATATTTTTTGTGAAAATTCCAAAATCTAAAATGCCCTTGATTGTTTCTCCACTGTATATGCCCTAACTAGCTAATGTATATGCCCTAACTAGCTGGTTAGCAAGTGTTATTTTTATCATTATATTATCTCAATTATTTTTTATCATTTTAAAACATTGCATGATTACTTTGTTATACTATTAATCATTATATTATTATTTATTTAGTTACATAATAATTGAGTTTTTATATATTTTTTTATAGTTAAAAATATTTTTTCTATAATCAAAATTACAATTGATAAACTCAATGTCATAATTCCATCTAAATTTTTTGTTGATTTGATGAGATAGAATGTCAATTTAGTTTAAATTAAATAAATGATATTAATTTGATAAAATTAAATATTAAATTGATGAATCTAAATGCTAATATTATAAAACATATAAGGAGTGCATTGAAATTTTAGAATTAGGAGGGGGTATTATTAAAGTTAGGTCTATTTATAGGGAGTGTTGCTAAAATTTGATCTATTTACAAGGAGTATGGATAAAATTTGCTAAATAAAATATTCAGTGGTATTTTTATAAATCAATAATCACTATAAAATTGCTCCTTATTATCAAAATAGTGAAAGGAAAGGTGAGTTTACTTGGAGTCAACCAATTTTGGAAGTTATCTAAGACAATGAGGAGCATGATACTCTGTGCCTTGTCTTTATCTTCTTAGACACTGCACGATGATAGCAGTTAAGAGTCACAAGATGCGATAAAAACAAAAGCATACAATAATACTAGACTAGACCATTCATACTCGCCCTGTTCATACTAACTAGACTAGAGCATGAGCATTACCCCTAGGTATTTATTTATTTATTTATTTTGGAGCAAGGAGGATTAATACAATTATTAATTACACATTTGCCAAGCGAAATTTTCGGAACTTATTCCTATTTTAGAATCCCAATCAATAATATTTTTTTGATTTAAGTAATGTTATTATACTGAGAAAAAATTAATGTTCATTTTCCTATTCCTATTTTATTATATTCTATTCTATTCTATTCAATGCTGATTAACGACACAACATGACATTTTTACCCTCACAAACATTTCAATTATTGTTTGTGGCGTAATCAGCAATTGGCAGGTCGGTCTCGGTCTTGTATATTTATTCAAACATTTGAGAAGATTGCAATATTTTTGCTTTTGAGAGAGAATACAAACAGCACTTCCCCTCTATATTAATTATTATTATATCGTAAAGGGGTTTAAGTGAAGTTTCACCATGAACGCAGAAAAGGGTGCTGTCAATTGGGCTGGGCTGGGCTGGGCTGGAGTACAAACAAACAACATGAACCACCAGAAAGGCTTGTTATGCATGTATCAATTGGGCTGAACTGAACTGAACTGAACATTAACTTCAAAATCCATAACTTTTGTGAAGCAAGTCTTTATGCTTCAAGAGCATCCTGCTATATTCATCTGTCTGTCCGTCCGTCACACATGGCCCCATCCTGTATTCCCAAAATAAGATCGTGTAGAAAATGAACAATATCATGTTTCTGGTGGCATTGCCCTGCTTTTTTCCTAGATTTTGTTTGTTAGATTCTGTTTCCCACCACTAAAAGCAATTGAGGGAAACCAAAGAGAAAACAAAAAGAAGATAACAAATGAAGTGACAGAGAGAACACGAATCCGTCAATATACAGAATAACGTGCATCCCAAAGGATAACAACCAGCTAAGGTTTTTTTCTAGACACACACATACCACCGAAACGCGAGGACTAACAACCGCTCCCCCCCTCCTCAGAAAAGTTTATATAAACATGAAGTACTACCATCCATCCACTCTAACTGCAAGTTAATCAAGTGGCAACATGTCATGACTCTCTCAGCAGCGCCCTTGCCCTGTCAAATGCTGCCTTTGCAGCATCGTGCTCTACCTCTCTTTGCTGACAAAGCTTCAAGGCTGCTTCTGCTTCCTTTGATGCAACCACTACACTTCTTTCCGACTCCTCCATCTCTTTTGAGATGTGATCAAAGCAAATTTCAAAATCCTTATTCTGAGCCTCACAATCTGCCAACTCCATCTCTAATTGACAAAGCAAACCCCTGACTCGGGAAGCCTCAGTGCGAAGCACTTGAAGGCGTTCTCTGCAGGTCTCCAGATCAGCCTTAGCCTTAGCATGATCACCAGAAATATCATGCAACCGTTTCTTCTCCAAATTGCACCGGTCAAGAAGCTCTCTAGAAAGGTGGTCATGGCGGATGCATGAGCCAATTTCAGCCAGTGATGATGCATGGCTGATGAATTCCTCCACTCTCTTACAGAATGGTCGGCAATCAATAAAGAGCAGGCCCAGTGCAGCAAAAGTTGTTTTTGCTTCCCGGACCATAAACTCGTGAGCACTATAATGCATTGATTCAAGCAGTGTAACAAGCTTGTCTTGAAGGATTAAAGCCACCTTCCCAAAGGCCTCTGAAACTGAAACTTCCATAATACGTCCTGGAACTATATCCAAAGAACCTTCAAATTTTGATGGCTCCCAGGGAACAACACTTAATGACTGATCATCTTGACCAATAAGGACTGGTGATGAATTGTTGCCTTCAGCAGCCAACGGACTCTCACGTTGGCGGGGTGAGGCCTCAATTTCAAACAAATCAACACTTTTACTGTCAGAAATAGGATCAAACGAAGGAAAAACACCTGCAGCAAAAGATAACAATATACACCGATGAATAAGGAATGCTACCAATATTGATCCCACCGGTCTGAACAATGTGAGAAAAATACAATGAGTGGCCGCTAAAACTTACAGCAAAAGAAAGGCTTAGGTGCAGGAATTGCCAAGCACTGGGATGGAGGAAATGCAAGCCTCCCCCACCAACCTCGGAAATGAAGACCTAGACTTCGATGGATCTCAGCCGTCACCAAACAATTTTGCCGCACTGAGGTGGTAAGCAAGGATGAAGAATAAGAGGTGGAAGCTGCAATGGAAAAAAATAATCTGAAAAAAAACATCAACACAAGAAACCACACCAGACTTGATGACATCCTAGTACACTAGTGAAGAATCAATACAAACCTTCTAGCGGAGTAGCTCCTGCAATAGAAATCTGCCTCCTATACTCTGCCTGTCTGTGGCGTATCTCTTCCTTTGATGACAAAACAGAAGCTCGAAACTCTTCCTCCGTCAATAGATCTATTGCCTTTGACTTTGTCATGCTCAGGTCATCAAATTCAAAAACAGAACCACCAATTTTGGGGGATCCATGTCGCAACCTTTTACAATGTGTTCGAAGAAGATCATCTGACGTGTCCTCTAGTCCCTTGAACTCTACCATCATTGCTTTGTCCCTCTTTGATGATCCAGAATTTTCCCTGTGATGTTGGGGATTACGACTAGCATCCACCGTCGCCGCCTGAATTTTCAGCCCAGGGTGAGTGAAATCACCTTGCTCGACCAAGTTGTTGCTTGGGGAATGCACATCCTGCCACTGAAAGAAGTTGCAGGCTCCTTGACCCTATGAGAGAATCAAGTCACAAACTCGTCAAAATCTAAAAGATAAAATCTGGCAAAGATTTTGCTTCTCTATATCTGAAAACATCAAGAATTCAATAAAATCTCAGAACCACGACCAATATAGCCAGGCATTGAATTCCTCACATGCTGTCATTGTATTCCCCATCAGATGCATTAAAGGTAAACTTCACAGAAAGGATATACATTCTGCATATCTGAAAACAAGTTCCATTCAGAAAAACAGCGACTAACCTAGTTTAGTTATAGTCACCATCATTCATATTAAAAAGAAAGTCATCTTCGCCAAAATAGTTGTGTGCATTTGATATCCTCAGAACCAACCGCATTAGCTTTTTTTTTTTGCTTCCTCATGTAGGCCAAATTATTTGCCAAAAGTATGAAAATAGGTGGTGACAGGAAGAGAGCAAAGCCAGAATTATATCATTTTTCTTCACTGGACTCTGATTTGAATGTTAAACTGAGAATTATTTGCCACTTGTGGAACTTAGATGAATTTCTAACCTCTTAGATACTTGAGATGGACTGTAAAGACACTGAGAAACCATCTTCTTGTTGCTCTAAATATGTACTCCAACATGGGGTGCTTTTCTATCACCAAAAGGGTCGCAGTTCGCACAGTAGTTCAAGGTCAGACTTCATATATACATCCATGATTGAAGGATTGATCTTTTGCCTAAAATTGATGCAGTTAATTATCCTTTCCTAATGAAAGATTTGAATGTGATTACAGCCATTTACAAGTTCTAGGGTATGTAATTGTGTTCCCTTTTTTTTTTTTTTAATTTGGAAGAAGAGTGGGGGAGGGGAAGACTAAAATTTTGGGTGATGGTAATTCCAACTGCCTCACAGAAGCCTCAAATTTCTTGTGGCGAGTTTATGGATTCGACAAAGTTTCTCTTTCTTGGGATAGTTTTTTTTTTTTTTGATATTGAAAATTGAGATATAAGAGAGCAATACAGTAAATTAAAGACGGTAATTTAAAAACAGTAATTCTAAGCTAGTCTATGGGGCATGCATCCAACTCTACTTGATTCTTTGTTGAGGTTGGCAGTTGGTCAGACTGCAATGTTCCAGTATAGCCCATAGCAAGTCCCCATCTTGCTAGTTCATGTGCTGCACCATTTGCAGTCCTGGGTGTATGACCAAATTCCAACTCTGGATGTTGATGAAGAATGCCCTTAATATCTTGTATGATCGAGCTCACAGACCAGTGAGGTTTGAGATGAGAAAGCATGATAGAGTGAACAACGTTCTGTGAGTCTCCTTCTATGAGCACATAAGACCATTGCTTATCATTAGCCCATTTCACTGCTTGCCTTGCGGCTAGAGCCTCTGCTGTCAGGGGGTCTGTTTCTGCCACAATCTCTAGTATACTTCCTAATACTGAACCATCATGTAGTCGAGCAATTGCTGCAACACATGATTTCCTGTTTCCCACTGCTGCATCAATATTAATCTTTATAAATCCTTCGTGTGGAGTTTTCCAAGTTTCTGATGGGCTTATGGCTGCTGGGACCTTTGGATGGGTTTAACCTCACTGAATTCATTAAAAGCATTCAGAACTTGTTGAAGAAATTGATGTGGCATGACTAACTGTTTTTCGTGGAGAGCTTTATTCCTCCAAGTCCAGATATTGCAGGCTAAAATAGCTGTGAAGAGCAGCAGTTCATTGCAAGGGGGGCTATTAGGTCCAAAAAGTATTGTAGGATGGAGAATGTTTTGAATCCATACTTGTAGAATAAGATGAGAGAAGGAATCTGTGTGAAGTCCCCATTTTTTGAACCATACCATTCTGGGTAAGGGGCAGAGGAAAAACAGATGGGTTGCAGTTTCTGGACATTGGTGGCATATGGGACAGAGTATGTGTGGTATAGGAAATCTGCTAGCTAGTAATGCTTGGGTAGGTAGGCATTCCGCAGTCATTCTCCACAAAAACATTTTATGCCTCTCATGGATTGGTGCCTGCCATAATCTTCTCCAGTCACTTTCTGTTAGGTAAGAGCTTTGTAAGTCCTGTATAGATCTATGAGTTCTGTAAGCAGATTTGCAGTCAAAATCTCCATTCTTATTTGGTATCCACATTAGCTTGTCTTCTCTCTCAAAAATTGGGATATGTATTCTTTGTATAGCTTGTATGACTTCTTGACTGAATAGTGAGGACAACAATGTTAAGTTCCAGCTGTTTGTATCCCAATCTATTAGCTCAGATACAAGGCTAGGGAGGCTCTCTGACTCTTGCTGCAAATGAACTCTGAATGTTGGCAAATTAGGCACCCAAGGTTCAGTCCAGATGTTTACAGACTGGCCATTCCCCACAATGTAGCAAGCACCTTGTTCAATGATGGATCTACAATCTAATATTTGCTTCCAGATTTGGGAATCATGTGGCTGTTTACAAGTGTAGAAAAATGAACTTCTGGAGCAGTATTTCCTTCTAAGCTGAGTAGTCCATAGTTTGCTGGTGTTAGAGATTAATTGCCATCCCAGCTTGGCCATTAATGCTTTGTTCATATCAGCAGTCCTTCTGAACCCTAGTCCTCCAATTTCCTTTGGTAAACATAATGAATCCCAAGATTTCAGATTTAGAGCATGATTCTCATCAGTGTGTCCCCACCAAAAATTCTTGATTGTTCTATCCATCTTGCTGCAAATGTTATGTGGCAGTAGAAAAGACTGCATGGCATAAATGGGCATTGCTAGAGCAGTTGTCTTTATCAAAGTTGCTCTCCCTGCATAGGAGAGCAATTTGGCTTTCAAACCCCGCAGCTTCATCTCAAGTTTTTGCAGAACTGGAAGTATGTTCAAAAGTTCAATTTGAAGAGAATAAATTCCATATTGAACTCAATCATGCGATATTCTAGGACACAATGGACACCCTCACATTCTCTCTTTGATCGAACATTCTGTCACCCATCATCTGACATATATTTCCCAGTAAACCTGTGTATATTTATGAACGACAGAAATGTCTAACTCTTATCTTATTACATTCCTATATACATGCCTATTTTCCATTTCTTTTCATGTCCTGGCAATGATATTGCCTACAAGGACCATAACATGACAAATTGTCCAATCCCCTGCATCCCCTATTATGGTTCTAGTTAGGATATGTCAGATCAAAGGATTAGAAAGGATGATGTTTTCCACATTCCACCAATGGACAAGCTGCATACAATGAGGATTGCTCAGAATTTAGCATTACCAACACTACCATAGGAATGCCTTTGCAAAGAAAGAGGTTTCCATGAGAAAGGCAAACAAAATCAGACGAACAGATAATTTGACAAGCTGCCATAAGTTGGAACATTTGGAATTGGAAGTTTTCTGATTAGCAAGCAAAATGCCTGTTGTTGCCAACAAGAGAAAGATTTCGTAATTATTTTATCTCACTTCGGGAGATTGGAGATATCTGATTTGATTTTTTGTGATTGAGAAAAACTCATAGCTAGCAAAACGGGTTTTCAAAAAAGAATGTAGTAAACTATAAGTTTACAAAGCAAATTTTTATAGGTTTTAGTTTTTGCTAAATAAATTATAAATCCATTGAAGTTAGTTCCTCATTCAAGGAAACAGTATATTAGCTCTTTATAGAAGGCATGAAAGTAAACAAAGAGAACTAATTGCCTGGAAATAATAGGAAAAATGGCATGGTCAAGAGGAAAATAAAATGGGAAGAAAAAATGTTTTCAAAAAAGAAAGACCAAATCGCACATGCATAGGAGAAACTTGATGAAGGCCAGAAGTAGCATGAAAATATGCAAAAAGGGTATCAGGTGTCCATTATATCCTCTGTTTTACTTTTTATGATGCAGCGACCATTCATTAACAAAAGAAAAATTCAACAGCATAAAAAACACAATAAAGTGCTGGAACAGTTTACCTTTTTTATAGGGCAGACAAAGAGCTTGCGACCCGCATTTGGCCCACTTGTTTCAATATGTATACGGCAAGGTGCAGCACCACAACCGCAAATTGGAGCATAGATGATTTCGTCAGATCTCACCATGTCAGACCACTTAAAAAACTTACATTTGGCTTCCTAAATCAAGGCAACAATCGTTTAACTGAAACTAGCAAAAGAAAAAAGGGCAAAAAAATTAAGTGCTCAACCATCATGATCATCATCAAGAGATCGGAAGAGCATAAATGAACTCACCTTGTTGGGGCACGTATAGAACTTGCGACCAGGGTTCTTGTCGGTATTAGAGGTAAGCAGAAGGCAAGTCCCGGCACCGCAAGGACACAAAAGGCAAGGGGAATACTGAAAACCATCGGCGGCGACATACAGTTTGGGACTGGATGGCTCTGGTTTCTTTGGGGTTCTGCTGGGGCAGTCTTTTGCCCAATGCCCTTTCTTTTGACACGAAAAGCAAGTATCCCCTTGAACTCGATTCTTTTTTTGGGGAGAGCTGAACTTAGGAGCTCCACCGTTGGGGTTGGGGGACTGGGTATGATTCTGATTATGGGTTGGGAAACAAGTGGTGACTGAACTTGAATTCGATATCACACTCTCTCCCTCAAATGCCATCTTGCAGTAAAAACCCTACTGAAGAAGGAGAAGTAGAGAAGAAGGAACAGTCTAGAAGTGGAGAGAAAAAAGTGATGCGCCAGTGGTGCTGCCTTTTCAAATCGTTTCTATCAGGGCGCTTTTCCGTACGAGAGTTGATAATTTTTCAAAAGGCGAAGGAAGGGACAAAGGAGTAAATATCATCTACACCCCTTTAGATTGTACAAAAATAAAAGTACCCCAATATTTATTTTATTAAATATTGATACCCATAATTTTTGTTTGTTGTTAAGGAACACCTCACCCTATTTTGTTATCTAAATTCCAGTTTTATAGAATAATTAGACATGTGCCCTTGTCTGAATACACTATATAATAAAAAAAATTATAAATTTAAAAATAATATCCATTAGAGAAAAAGTTGAACCTCTATTCAAAGATCAAATTAATGTATGGTTCATTTTATTTTATTTTTTAAAATTTTCATCCATTTCAATTTAAAATTAATTTGGACCCAACGAGTTTTGAAAAATCAATTTCCACCCTAAAAGACTATTAAATTGAACTCACAATCACACTAGTACTACATTCATGCCTAAATGCAATCAATCAATTACAACTAGGTGGTATGGACACAGGTATAAGTACACAGATACAGGTACAACAAAATAGTGATGGGAGAGTATAAAGAGTAAATGGAATAGAAATATTCTTAAAAAAAAAAAAAGATTTTGTTGCTTAATTAGATTCATATATAGATCAAAACCACAGACTGGAGGAGGAGTTCACCTCAAAATCGCTGGACCACCGAATTCTGCTCTACAATTTCTGGCTCCAGGTTGTTTTGAGGCCTAAAGCACTAAATTTAATTAATTTTTTTTTATATATATATTTTTAATAATAGTGCAATTTTTTAATATTTAAATTTTTTTTGATGCATATTAATTGTTTAGTATTCGCATTGAAGTTTTTCTAACATATATTTTTTTATTGACAGTATAACTAATTAATTTAATTTTTAAATTAAATAAAAAATTCCAAAACTTTTAAATTCAAAGATCATTTGATAGATTATGTTGTCTTGTCATTTTCACTCTTATAAAATTATTTTTTGAATATATGTTTGATTAAATTTTTTTAAATTACGATAAAAAAAATAATATTATATGGACTTTATTTAGTGATCTTATTTGACGATCTTATTATTTTTTGTTATTAGATTGATAGTGGATCCTACTATTAGTTGAGACCCAATATCAATTCCAAAGCTATGATCCATCGTGTCCCCAAATAATATCACTAAATTATGTAGAATTTTTTTTTTATTGTAAAATGTTATTATGGGAGATCAATGGATTGAATTTTTTGGCCCAAGAGGTTTTTTTGTTTGTTTAGGTCTACATATGGAACTTTATCATAAAGCTAAAGGGTTAAAATTGACATGGACTATATTTATGGACTTTTAAATTTTGAGGCCCCTTTTTTAGTGGGCCTAAAGCCGACGCTTCTTTTCCTCCTCTGTTGGGCCGGCCTAGCCTCGATATAGTCGTACCACCCACTCACATAGATGAACATGCCGCCACTATATTTGTTGTAACTCTCTGTAGATCCAAAAAAAAAAAAAAAAACTGTATACATAACCATAAAAACTTAATTGAAAAAAAAACTTATGCAATTACAGCAACTTCAACCAGATTGTCAAATCCCAGCACGACAACTCCTACGTCTCATTTTAGCATTTTATGTTTAATTAGCCCATCCAAATTTTGGTGAGAGCGTTGGGGGTGATTGAAGGCACGATTAAGGGTAAGCAAGTACGAAAATTCTTAGGCAGAAAGAACTTTTCAAAAACCATTTTTGTCCGTTAGATTAAAAAATTTTAAAATTATTTGAATTGTTTTTTATGTTGGAGTAACTTCACTCGTTGAATTAAGCTTTTTTTCTTTTTCTCGAATTGCTCGTACTTAAAAGATGCTATACAACAATAAAAAAAAATCATTAATTGCCCAGTCCTTCATCACAAAAAGAAAATAACCAACACTAAAGTTAAATCTTATGATTATCCGGTGAATAACATGAAAAGTAGTTAGGTTGTTTAGTCATGTTTAAGGGTGTCATGTTCTCAATGGACTTGGCATTATCATGAGGCTGATCTGTTCAATTTAGAAGAAAAATGGTAAATGATGCCTAAAATATTTGCTCATATTTATGTAAAACGGCAGGGCAAACTAACTGACTGAGAGTGGTTTTCTCGATGCCGCCGTTGGTGGAAGGTGCCGTTTATTTAATAAAATACAAATTTTCAGTTCAAATGAATTTTGAATACTCATACCTGACTGAATGTATTGTGTAACACAAAAAATTTGATAATTAGCCCACAAATGAAAAATGTCGTGTCAACCTAGCTCACAGATGAAAAGAACTGACACTGTGCACCTCAACAACCGTAAAACTAGCTTATAGAGGATGAAGTGAGGGGTGTGTGTGTGTGAGTGAGAGAGAGAGAGAGAGAGAGATTTTGATTGTAGTTATATATACTAGCTTATAGAGGATGAAGTGACGTGTGGTTTTATTTATTTAGGGCCTCAAGCCACCGTACAGTACACTCATTACAATTTATAACCACATGCTAATGCAGGGCAAAGTGAGGGGCGGGCGGATCATGCTTCAGACGGTGGTGTTGGTGTTGGTGTTGGTGTTGGTGTTGGGAGGCTAGTGCCAACGCAAGAGCCCATGCACTGAAAGTCCGAGACACCACACTCTACCACGCATGGTGCAATCAATGCAGGTCCCGTAACCATTGTTGCACACTGAATCGCGCAAGAAACTATATGTTGCCCGCAGCTAGCAAGGCATTGGCCTACCTGCGCCCCCTTAGCCTCCTGAATTACCACATTGCAGCTGCAGCAGCAGCTGCACAACAATAATAGCAGCACCCACAGAACTTGTCCCACCGACTTGATACCACAACCACCCATACTCCGCTATCTGTGGAATTAACAGATTGTGTCTGTCAACGAATACTGGAACATGGTACAGAATTTCTCCCTGAATCACCTATATATACATATAGAGTAACCTTTGTTTGCACGAGGGGAGGGTGTTGTAATCTTGCGTTTGGAAGAGCTCCTCCATCTCTCTCTGTCATTAAGATGGTGTGACTGCCATCTCAACCTTGACCGTACGGCACCACCAGGGGGATCTAACTCATATGATAAACTAATTAATTAAATGGGTCCAGAGCAGGGAGAGGAAGTTGTTTTTTTGAAGTCATGAATAGACATACGTCTGTATGTATGTATGTATGTATGTATGTAATAGGAGAAGAAGATCGTGGACCCAGGAGGTTGCTGTTGCCAAATTGCCAAAAAGTCTCTTGGAAAAATCTTCACTTAAAAAACCACCTACGCTTCTTTAATTTAATATATCCAAAACAAAAATAAGCAACAGCAATAGGATAGGCCCAGTCGTTCCCTCAATTAACACCATCCACAACATATGAAATGAGAGTTTAGCTTAATTAATATGGTATTTTACATCTTGTGCAGAATGTAGTTAGACAAATTAAATGAGTTGTAATTAGAGTCATGCATTATTAGCTTATTAAACTATACAATTCAAATTGAACCATCAAACTCAAAATTAATGAACAATGAATACTCAAGAATGAACATAAGAAAAATTCTGCACCTTGTCCACATCCTGAGTAAATCTCTCAGTCTGTGGTTGGTGTCAATATACAGCTCTATCAACCTTAATTAGAAACATGATCATCGCAACTGTCTTGGCCTGCATAAATTTCAGCTTGTGTCATCATGCCCACATGCCCGAGAGAGAGAGAGAGAGAGAGATGCCACATATCTTCATAATTCAACTCTGTGATTGATTAATTTAGGTCTCAAAAGATTGCACTCGATGCCAGAAAAGCAAGATTTTGAATCAAGCTTACAAAACTCTCTTATTCATTAACTGAGGCCAAGTGTGGAAAGCTAGCTAGAGCCCATTTGTCTAAAACTTGCCTTCAATGGGCATATGCGAATGTAAGAATCAATTTTCGACAGGTCACTAGAGATGTTGCAGTGATTTACCTAAAAAAATGTGGCATTGCACGATATACATACAGTCTATAAATGGAACAAATAATTCAAATTGAACCATCAAACTCAAAATTAATGAACAATGAATACTCAAGAACATAAATGCTTTCTTATCTTGATTAATAGCTACTGCCATTATTTCTTTACCTGTATAAATTACCCTCTTGAGTTCCTCTGTTTTTCAAGTGTTATACTGCATATTTGAATGTATTCAGTCCTTCACAATCTTCTTGTTTCAACCGATTTTCTCTCAACAAAATTGTAGCTTATCTTTCTAATCCTTCATTCAATTCTAACATGGCCTGCATAAATTTCAGCTTGTGTCATCATGCCCACATGCCCGAGAGAGAGAGAGAGAGAGAGAGAGAGAGAGAGAGAGAGGCCACATATCTTCATAATTCAACTTTGTGATTGATTAATTTAGGTCTCAAAAGATTGCACTCGATGCCAGAAAAGCAAGATTTTGAATCAAAGCTTACAAAACTCTCTTATTCATTAACTGAGGCCAAGTGTGGAAAGCTAGCTAGAGCCCATTTGTCTAAAACTTGCCTTCAATGGGCATATGCGAATGTAAGAATCAATTTTCGACAGGTCACTAGAGATGTTGCAGTGATTTACCTAAAAAAATGTGGCATTGCACGATATACATACAGTCTATAAATGGAACAAATAATTCAAATTGAACCATCAAACTCAAAATTAATGAACAATGAATACTCAAGAACATAAATGCTTTCTTATCTTGATTAATAGCTACTGCCATTATTTCTTTACCTGTATAAATTACCCTCTTGAGTTCCTCTGTTTTTCAAGTGTTATACTGCATATTTGAATGTATTCAGTCCTTCACAATCTTCTTGTTTCAACCGATTTTCTCTCAACAAAATTGTAGCTTATCTTTCTAATCCTTCATTCAATTCTAACATGGCCTGCATAAATTTCAGCTTGTGTCAT